ATGTGCGTGTGAAAATATGACACAGGAAATTGCAGTACTACCTAAGTACACGTAAACACTTACTCAAGGAATGAGTTCTACTTTGTCTTACATTGTTTACTCCTTGTACTTCAACGCCTATTCTAATATAGTATAGTATTAATAGGTAAGCACGTATTTGACATGGAAATTATATAGCGATCAATACGAATTTAGTCAGAATTCGGTGGTTTGTAATCTATTTATTCTGTATTTTTATTGACTCGATTTTGCTATTTATCCTAGTGTACTAAACTGTTATCTTTAATGCTATCTAGAATAAGTTTTGTTAGTCTAAAAAATGTAGTATGTTGCTTTTTTGCACTCCTCACAATTTTTGTTAGACGGATCTGTAGATAAGCTAAACCACTTAAAATGTCATCGATGGTTGGTTAGGTTATCCTCAAACAAAAGTGTGCGAGTTGAGGTTAGAAGGAGGTAGGGAAAGCACTGATAAATGAGATATATGGTGGTAAGTTCGACAAGGCCACAGTATCTTTGTAACCAATTTTATACAGCAATGTTAAATTATCCGTTCTCGTTGAGTCACTTCCAGTCAAAACAATTTTTCAATACAAACGAATGCTTCGCGTCACGGAATTCGAACCAGTGATACTTGATTATACGATGAATAACGAGAATATTTGCACTGCTCTTAGTTATCCGATAGTATCGTTTCGCAAAGCCAGGCAAAAACAAATTGTTGCAATATCTTATCCTTGATTACTAAAGTTAGCAAGATGTATGAAAAAGCCTGATCTCGTTGGGTAACTCGGAACAGAGTGATAACCTGCCTTAAATCAGCCACATGTAATACAAAATTGTTCTCAAATTAATTGTAGAACTAATTAGACAAATCGAAGTTTCACTAATTAACTTTTTATCAATAATACCTGGACTCCTAAAAAAAAGAGAAAGCGAGAACTGATGTGTTGCATGACATTTCATTGTGAATAGTCTCCATAAACGGGCTCGAAAAAATCCCGTTAGAAACAACACGTGTTTAATGTATAAGTAAGAAAATCGTACATTTGTAAAGCAGCACTGTCTTTAACTTGTCAAACTAATATTTCTCGCCCAAGTATTTTTGATGAGTCCTTTTAAAGCCAAATTTTTCTTCATGTTTACTTCTCTATCTGTGTGTCATTATGATTAGTTATACAAAAATTTTCTGTTTGTGAAAATACCGATTGATAAATTTGTGTTTGTACAATATAAACATTTAGTAAATTAATAGTGACAGAAGAAAATAATATGTAAATAAATGAAAATAAAAGAAAACTGAAACTCAGAGCAAAGAAGGAAGCAAGGACAACAATACCTTTGTTATTTGGTATTAAGGTCTTTGCATAGTGTTCTCACAATTATTACGACGTCGACACTGAACCTCATTCTATGTTTATTTCTGTTGGACCCAAAACAAGAAGATGCAAACTCACCCTCTATATGCTACTAAGGGTCTATAAACGTTTTACTGATCAATTTAAAATCTCCTTACAATACTTCGTGAAGTATCATCTCCATGACTATTAAGTGCAGAAAGGGTATATAAGATCATATACTTATTTATCATTGACGGCGTGCTTTGATACACCTGTCTAATGGACAGATATAAAGATATGGGTTGTATATTTTATCATAAAAATCGTACTGAATGAAATTTTGAAATGTTCCGAGTTGATCTTGCAAGTTTATTTGAGAAAAGTTACTTAGAGAATTTACTTAGATTAGATACTAGCGAATTAGCTGCATTTTTTTATAAGAACCTGGTAATTGGTGTTGGAAGCCATAACAAGTCCGTTTTATTTGGACAACCTTGGTAGAAATCTGCAGTTAAAACTTATCCTAAATGTAATTGTTATAAAAATTCTTTCAATTGAGCGAATTCAACATCAACTCTTTCAATTGCGTTATATTGATGTGGTAATTTGTCTGTTGAACCACGATTCGTTTTTTGCAGGCTGTTAGAATCCGGGCCGAAGTGAGTCGGTGGGAGGGAATAGGCACCAAATCACGTGGACGTCGATGCAATGGCGTCCTCGGTGTCCCAGGCAAGCGCCCTCTATGAGTACCAAGCAAAGGATGACCGTCTTCTCAATCTGCAGCAAAATCAGAGTTTTATTGTCGTCGATAAGCTCTCCAAGGTTGGCTCACATTTGATATTTATTTTTTTTTTTGGTTGTTGTATTATTTTTGTGCCTAAATTTGCCCGAAAATCTTTCTTCATAAGAGCTGCGCACAGTTGTCAGGTTTGGGTTGAGACGCTAAATATATTTTTCTCAAGCTTAATACTGCATCAATAACCGTTAAACTGTAGCATACTCAGCAGAAACTTTATAATGTCACAAAGCTTATTAGTCGTAAATTATTTTTGAATTGCTATATATCTATCATACGCTAATATATCTCATTCTGAGTGTACAGTCAATGAAGCCAAACCGCGTGTTTTTTGGGGTTGCAGTGCTATTCATGTAGTTCATAGTCTTTTTAAATTGATATGTGTTTAAAAGATGGGGTTGGGGTAAGGTGAGAAACCGATGTTTACGTATTTTGGGCGAGCATTCTAGCCCACCCTTTTTTTAGTCACGATAGACCGGGTAATAGTTCACGTAATAAATTAATGAAGACCATATTTCCGCAGGCATGGTTAAACGGACATGACACTATTGCAGTTATGCTATAAAGACTTGGTCATTTTCGAAGGAGTTGAGGCAAGAAGAATCTAACCACACACACGGAATAAGAGATCAAATGTTCTCTAATTACTAGGCGCATATTCTCTTTGTCTTCTTCGGGCTTTTGTTTGAAAATTTGAAATGGCAACGCTCTTGCCAATTTTATTAGCCTTTTAAACTCCTCTTGATATAAAGTTTCAGGCCCTAAAATAAAACTAAGGTTGTGTTTACTAAGTTCCAATTTCGGATGAGTATATTTACTTCGTCGATTCTAGTAATTCGAAGAATCGTCATTTTAAAACGGAAAGCTCAGTAGGTTCCTATTATACTACTTGGTTTTTCTTATGTTTGGTTGTCAGGACCCGAACTGGTTGTTTGCGGTAATGGAAGATGGTACAACTGGATATGTGCCATCAAACTACATTTCGAAAAATGGTGATCTTGACAGTCAGCTGGCAGAGAAAACACTGGCCGCTCTTCAAAAGAATGCTCACAACCACAACGAAATGGAGAAGAAGGCCGTACGGTACGTATTATGCTATATGCTTAATTTAACTTATGTATTTAAATTGTGTCTCATAATAGTAAAGCGGAAAGGAATGACGGGTTGGCCTTTGCTGTTAGATAAATTTGAATATTCTTTTAAATTCATCTGAAGTTGGTACCATCGAGAGGATTCGACATCTTAGATGAACTAAAGATTCTCAAACGCTCTGAGTCGATGATAAAAACGCCGATAGCGCATAAGTCGGCATTTCTAAACCTGATTTGATTTATGGCAGACATTTGTTAATGAATCAATTGGATCATGTGACCTATACGATTAGATTATACCTCATACGGTGCCCCGTCTTCGAATTCTCTACATTGGCTTCTTGTATAATAGGCTGGTGTTTTCTACAGCTTAACTTACCGCTATTCTACATTCTGAAATTTTATTGTAGTGCGTAGTAAAAGCCTGTGCTAACTTGTGGTTAGTTAACGTGATAGTTGTTTGTGGCAATAGTTTCAACCTTAAAACTTTAGCCCTTGCTTTAGCGGCTTTCGTCTAGAGTTCTGCATATTCTCCCTTGAGACTCCCCAGAGACTTTGTTTTGTAATATCATACCCCAGGCGCTCTTAAACATTGATAGCACTAGATAAAAGACACAAAAGGTTCGTCACTGCTTTTTGAAATCGTTATTGTAATCAACATTTCTATGGGTGCCGGAAGATTCACATTTCGATATTCTGTGTTGAAGTCTATCGATTTCCGACAGTTCTATTGGTGACTTAACTGGGTAGATATTCACATAAATACAACGCACCAACGAGTAAAGATTTGTGTGAATTTGGAGTTTGTACGACACATGGAGTCTATTGGTTCCATGCACAAAGAGAATGCACAATCGTATCTTCAGAATAGTAATTGTATACGTTTAACCTTTCTGTTAGTACAGGTTATAGCAATTTTAGTACTTAATAAGTATGTTATAGAAGTGCTGCTATTTGTCTCCTCTATAGCTGTTGTTTTAATTGCCTTGTGTAATCAGACAGCCCAAGCGCTCTTAAGCAATGGTAATGCTAGATTGAAGGAAGTAAGTTAGAGATTTGTATTTTATGCACATAAATTTACTGGAAGAAAGTGATCATAGTATACTGACGACGTAGCATTGCTCACCGGTTTGTAAGAATCGGAAGCTCTATGCAGGCGGTCTGGAGGGAACGAGCAGGAAAAGCAATTATCATTGCACTCGTCATTTTTTCAACTGTTTGGATTTTTGGAGGACTGAACCTAGACCACTTCAGGTGTCTTAGAAATTAGCAGCCAAACACGTTTCTACTGCATTTTCATGCGGTTAATAGGACTACAGACAACGACAGTGTGTTTCATGCGAACTTTGCAGAAGTAGCCTTACTGATATTAAGGGTTTGCTCCCCTTTCGGCAGTTGCTTACGCATGTCTCGCCACTCTGTCACTTCAGGTATAGCTCTACTATGGCCGTATATATATATAATATAATGCATAAAATGTATATTCACAGTAGTCAATAGTAGTATTATTATTTACGTATCTGCGTTGCTGATACAACATCTGGTTACTACTAAGTCGCAGTGGTGTTTCACAAACATACTCTCAAAGATTTTACTAAAATCTCTCTTTTCAATTCCTTTGTAGGTGTCTACGGGAAAAGATGGCTTTGTCGCGACTTAACTCGGATTGGCTGTCGGAAAATCTTTGGGATCCGGCGCAAGTAGCTCGAGAAATGGTCGAACAAGTGGAGGCTGCTACAAAGCTCAGTCCTCAAATGGCGAGAACTGCTGTGCAACTTGTACTCAATAAAGTCGCTGAAACGATGCCTTCGACAGTAAGTGTGATGTTCGACAAAGATAGTTTTTGAGCTGATATCGGTTGCCTTACCTCTCCTCACTGTAATTCGTATTGTCATACGACTTGTGAAACACTCCATGCTTTACCTTCTGTGGGCCAGCGGTTGTTTAGCGAAGAAAGACACTTTTGCTTAAGAATGGTAACCCTAAATGGTGCAGAAGTATTTAGTAATCGTTCACTGTTATTCCTTCATTTGCTTGTATTTATATCCCTCAACAGCTGCAGTCAAATTTGTGGCGAGCATTGATGTCGAAGATCGAAACGATGAACACGGAAACAGACTACGATCGCTTGGAATTGGTTTTTAAGGGACTTTATCTCACCAAAAATGACGAACAACAGCGGTATAGTTAGACCTCTAAAACTTATAATTGAAGCGAAGTAAACAAACATTTAATTCAACAGCACAAAGCAAAAAGTACCGAAGAGATGTTGAAATATAACGCGTACTTCTGTCTATTATTCTGTCAGTAGCTTCTTTCACTTGCGATTAATGTACAATCTCAGTATTGCTTAGTGCTTACGAGAGCGTAATACTCTCATTAGATAGAACTAGAATCTAGATACATATTTGTATATATATATATATAAAACCTGCTGTTGTTATACATAATGTTATTTAAATTGGGGAACATTGCATAATTCATTCTTAACACTCCAGATTCAAATTTACTTAAATGCGTTCTCGGATTTTTGTGATCAATGTTTGTCCAATAATTTATTTTAGCAGAGTATCAATAGTCGTATTGATTCGTGTTTTATACAGGTCGTGGCCGCTACACCAGGACGAATCTACTATCAATACCTTGCTTGAGCGATTATACTTGCTACTGGTAGAAACAGACGCCAGTACCAGTAGTCGAGTACTTCAGATCGATAACTACGAGTACATTACTACATTAGTCGAATATTATCAGATGGAAACGCGAAATTTGCTTCGCGTTTGGATGCTCAGGGTAGGTGATAAATTAATTTTGACCTAGGCCATACGAGACAGTTATCATTTTCTTTTTTAGTAAAATGTGCCAGCGGACAGCCTGTTACCTTAAGGGGCCTTTGACAACTAAAGATCTTGTAAACAGATCTAAAAGACTTTTGAGTTACCATTACCACAGCCTTGTATTTGTACAAGGGCGTAGCCTCGGGGTCCGGTTTTAGCTTACATCAATATTGTGTTGCGATTGCATATTGCTAACGAAAATTGAATTCCCTATTTTCTAGCATTTTGCTTTTTTCACGTTTTTTTTTTCAGGTATTTCTGACGTGCTGCGAGCTTGACTTCTGCGTTGTGTCTGTTTTACTTCACTCAGTTTTACCGATGGAATTAGCGCGGGATCTCCGTACCCAACCAGATATTGAACGGTTCAAGTACTCTTTACTGCTACTGACCGTAATCTTCTGTTCGGGAGAGAAACCTCCGAATGATGTTTACGGACAAATAAATGAGGAGTTCATTAACTTCTTGCTAGAGCAAATCGAGAACCCTCTTGACGATGACCAGGTCGGCACAACGGTTAAATTATGTTCTCTATTTAAGATAAAATGAATAAAATTTAATGGCTTACTGAGACGTGCACAGCTCCAATCAGGCTTGCAAATGCGCTATGCAATCATAAATACCTTAACATACGTGACTCTCACTATGAAAGTGCATGTTCATCTTTACATGCAATGAATTCATCTTAGCTGTGTTTTTCATTCTCATTGTGTTCATTTTATTTGTTCATCTTGCTTGTATTTCAACATATCTATTTTGTAGGCACATTTTATGTCACTTGAATTGTTCTTTCGATACACTCTGTTGCGCAACATTAGCTGTATTATATATTCGAACTGTCTGGTAAAATTTCTAATGCCTATACCATCTTCATGAGATTTTAGCAACAATAGACACTTTCAATCGAGCTCTTTTAGTAGATGAACCGTAACATGAAAGTGACAACTCAAGTTCTAATTGGAGCCGAGAATATAACGCCGTAAGAATGCATTCTTTTTTACTATTTAATAGCTAATTTAATCAAAAAACAAATCCCTTAAAATGTAGAACTAATAGTATGACAAAAATATACCTATAAATTTGGGTGAATAGTGTACTATAATGACAGATACAGTGCACTCCAACAAAGTACCTCTCTGGTAAAACTAGATATTAAAAATGCATCGACGCGTTTCGGAGTACGAGTGAAGACTGCTTCCGTACTTTGCAACAAAGTATCCGATATAATTTCTGTGCATACTGCCTGAATCTCATTCGAAAATGTGTCCGACTTGTATGGTTTGCCACCGCCAGCTCTGGCACCGCAAGCAAAGATGTATCATTTGTAGCCGTACGAGGTCGCCCCAATCTGCCTTTCTGCATATTGGACCATAAATCTTAAATTTCTCTCGTAGATGTGTAACTTTGAAAATGGAACAGTCTCATACTTAAGTCTTCGCAGTCACTGAACTATAACAACATTCTCAAGATCATGGTAACATATTCAGTTCTTTCAAGGTCAAGCATAACTTCGCCATGTTGATGTGATTCTTTCACAATGGAAGGGCTTACACCGCTAAGTCCACAATGCTACAGCCAACCAAGAAAACGAAACATTATTTTTCCCATTATCTTAACTTCATGGGAAAAGCTTCTATGACAGTTCAAATTGTCTAGCGCTTATTTGAAGTTTGAAAATGTGTGAAGGAGAAAAAAGAGAGATTTTTGGGATAGGCCTTTTCTGGAGATCGAGGGAGAGGGAAAGAGTAAGATTAATAAAATCGGATGTGAAAAATATATAAGTAATACCACTGTTAGTACCTATTCTCTCTGTACTGTATTTACAATTACGAAAATATAGCGTCCTAGAAGAGTTATATTCTCTCAAAATCCTAACCTATTAATTTTGCATCTTCGTCATAAAACGGCACATCGTGAAACAACGTGCTGTTCATCGCATTAATATGAATCTTTATCATGGTCAACTATAGGTATTTGTAGAAAATTTTTTTCAATTATGAACACCTTACGACATCACGTACGTAATTTGGCCATCCTTACTTAGAAAGTAAATAAGTGGTACTTCGTTCCAGAGATAAATAAGTAAAGTCTTTCTTCTCTAAAGATTGTAATGTGCGAAATTCTAACAGCTAACAAAAATGTAATACGTGAATTACCGCTCAATATAATAATTACTGTCTAGTGCCAAGTTATCGAGCTAAGTCCGTAAGAACGTACTTCGCACTCCACTTAAAACCGTACGATGTAACAATATTTAACAGAAAGCACGCCGTGTCTTTAAGGCTATAATAAAAATAAGGAGTAACTATAATGGCTTAAAATTGTTACAATCCATTATTTTAAGTAAATTAATTTACATATATATGATTTCCAATCTCCCATGGTGATGCTAAAAAATGCGTGATACAAACTAATATGGATGTATTTTTCAATCAATTCTTGGGGTATTCTAGGAACTCGCAGAGCTATGCGTTGGCGTCCTTCTGGCTACAAGCTTAACATCCAGCGATTTTGTGATGGAGAAATTGCTCAGTACTGAGCAGTCTTTGCAAGGTTTCACTCAAAAACTTTTACTCCTTGTTAATCGTGAAGATGATCCAACCAAGGTACATCAATGTATACCTTTTTTCTTGGTATTGAATGGTTCATTTGTGTACAAAAGTCAACTTTTCAGAGATCGATTTTGTTAATTGAGCACCTTAGAGCAAGCACTATGCGCCACCAAAAGATCCCATATAGTTTAGCTTTACAGCCGACTTGGACAGTTGTCGTAGATTCAGGGAATTGTTTCTAACTATATACAGCCATAGTGCACGGTGTTACGAAATGGCTCATATAAATAGCTCCGGCCCGCATTAGGCTTAAATAAAATTAGATAAATATTTCAGCACTCAATTTCACATTTGTTTTGTGTATTTATAAGTGGCGAATCGGGTGCTAGGAGCTGCTATGCTGACATACGCATCTGTGCTATATTCAGTTTGTCTTTTATTGTCCAGGTATTGAATCACAGTGAGCTGACATCGCGTCCCTCAAATTCGGTTCTCGCTATGCTGATTTGCCTTTTCTCTAAGCCCAAAACAGCAGATATCTTCTATTTAAATGATGTTCATGTATTAATCGATATCATTGTGCGCCAACTAGTGGATACCCAGCCTTCAGATGAAAGGCGTCAAGATTACTTGCTTTTAATAGAAAACATACTTAAGAATGGAGCCTACCAAGGACACAGGTAAGAAAGCCCAACGAAAACGTCCACCTGAAGTGACTCCACTACTTTCAGTCGGGCTGAAATGTCTTTGATAGAGTAAATATAGTTATCTTAGGTTTGCCTAACACTTGGGTTTACAAATTTTCTCGCAACTTTTTCAACTGTCTGTTACGTATTTATGCTGAGAATATAAATCGTTTATTTTCGTACGAGTTAAGGTAGACGGGCTAGATCTGTAGAAGTCTGCAGTTAATTATAAAATTAACCCCCTTAGCCCTCTAAGCATGGTTCCTCTGAATCGAACTTTGTTAAATCAAAATCATTTTGTTGTTTCCGTACGCGGTGCTTCAGGTATAATCAACTGGAGAAGTGTTTTAATGCAGTACTAACTAGTCCAGAATCGCCAGATAGTCACGTGAAGATTGTGCGAAGGATCCTGGACAGTGGTAACCTGAAAGCGGCATAGTGACAAAAGGAATAAAATGCAAAAATATTCTTTCAAATTGCTGAATGTTATTTAGTCAAATACTGTAAGCTACGTAATGGGACAACTAGAATGTACAAAGTTAATTTAACGTTTTCAGTGCTCCTGTCTTTCCATGCAGCAGAGTCGACGCTTGGTTTTTCTGGTGTTAGGTAAGAGATCCAGTGCATTATAACCGTACTCATACATACCGTTTCTTGATGCCTAGGTTCGTACAGATTTGAAATAGATATCATGTATTATTTATCCTCAGTTTTATTAGTTCTGTGGAGCTCAAGTGACAGAGACAACAATTGAAATGGAACAACTTAGTCCGACAGCGCACACAGACGATCTGCTATGCATGCTAAACAACATAGCTGGGTGAACATCTGCACCCATTGCTGCTCTTGCTGCCTTGCTGATAACATTCAAAATGAATATGGCTTAGTATATGAATATGCATGACAAATCGGAGATCTTTTTATAGACAGAATCTAGAGATTATGCGATGGTTTTTTTAGTCCGACCATTAGGAATGCTAATTTGTTCTTTACGGGGCACAGAAGTGTGGATCGCTTTTTGGTCCAAAAGTCCTCGGTGTTGTCGGCCCAGTAAGGGAAATACAGCAGGTATTTGAGGCTTTCAGGAACGTATAAATTATAACTTCACACATACGGATCGGATACTTCCAACGCCTATAGATTATTAGCAGCTTATACTAGTTATATTGCTTATATTTAGTGAGAGAAAGAAAGGGATTATTTGCTTATAAGCCACTTCCTAAGTTGGTAAGCCTGCAGACATTCTCACGCTTCACAAGCATCGTAAAATACTCTAGTCAGTGTGAACGAACTTCAAATCTTTGGAGTTGCTGTAGTTTCTATCGCGCAGAGCACCAGTTTCCTTTTTAAATCCTTTAACTTTTGAAGCAATGACATGATGATTCCCTCGTTAGCAGTTCCATTAACATGCCCAGAAAAGGATTTCTCTTAGTACCAATCTAAATTGTATTTTTTAGCTAGCGTGTGCTATTCGGGCCCATAAGTTAGCTCGAATGCCAGTATCTACTACAGTATTATATATTGAAATCGGAACACATAGAAATCAATGTAAACTAGGGATCCAAGGAAGCAAGTCAGATATCTACCTTAGGTAAGTCAACCAGCAACAACGATTTACTGGAAAGGGCTTTATTTCTGCCGCCTCTAAGTACTTACATGTCTATATCAGTGAACTGATGCCTGTTATTTATATTACTATTTATTTGTATTGTTTGAAGATAGTTACGATTATCAATATTTTATTGTTATCGCGTTCGAATTGCGGCTGCGCTTAGCAGTGAAGGATACCATTTACCTCGTTTTTTAATTGTAATAGATTATGCGAAAACTATTTTGAGTAGTTATGCCCATGATCGTTTTCCCGATCGGTCTCGTCAGTGCACGAATACAACAACCATGTCACCAACAACATCAACGACTGGCAGACGATATGAGGAAAATTGCATTTGCATACGTAGATGAGAATACAGTAGTAAATAAAGGCAAGAGGAAAGAAGAGATCAGGCGAGACCGAAGGTCTAATTGAAAGAGTGTGCAAAAGAGAAAAACCGAAACGTTAATATGTTCCCGAGATAAGGAAAAAAAAGAACAGAACGAACTTTGTGAACAAGGGGATTTCTTATCTCGACAAAGTAGTGATAAAGAATTTGAGAAATAAGCGCGGGTTAAAATCTACAGAATGTTATAAGATCGGTTCGCTGCCCTACTAGAAGCTGGACGATCATTATGATTAATCTAGTGCGCCTATTTACATTTCTATCTAGATAATTACTAATAAAATATGTCAGTACAAAGTTTCAAGATTTTATTACCGTCGTCTTTTTTTTTTAGCTAGCATGTCCACACATGTAGTAGAATAATTGGATAGGTTTAAATACGGTCCACAGTGTGAGTTGCTTACCGATCTTAGTGTATTCAGCTAAAGCTGAGTTCTAGATGTGCTGGACACTCGTTTCTGAGGAGAAAAGGAACACTTAAAGTTTTGAAGATGCAATTAAAAAGGACGGTGGACTTATGCAACTCACTAAAATTATTTTCAGGCTTTTTGAGTAGTAATGACCGACCAAAACTTTTATTTAAAGCGAGACTTTCGACCGTGGGAGTTTTAAAAATGAATATATCTTTTATTTTTATCAATGTTTTTCGATTGAAGCTTTCTTTTACAAATATTTTCGTGTTTAAATACCTTCACCTTAAGAAAAATGAGACGAGTAAGGAAAAATATAGAAGAACCATTAATTTCTTATGTGTAGAAGTTGCAGGCTTCACTTAGTTTTCGATCGACGATCATTATAATCAGTACGTGATGCGTAAATGTTTTGAACACCAGATTACTGAGTCTCAGGGAAGTTGGCCACCCAAGGAAACTGAAAACGAGCTTTGCGCAATTTTACCGATTTACCCAACAGATCTTGCTTGCGAATTTCAGTTGCTTGTATTCGGTTTTTTGCAGGGGTTAACATTATGAAGTCTGATATCTCGCAATAGATGATAAATAATAATAGTGTAAACAAAAATAGACCCAGTATACCCAGTATATTAAGGAAGAGATCGCATATCTACGCTAGTCAAATGTACCTGCGCGATGAGCAGGGGCTAAGAATGCATATAACTTTAAAAATATTAGTTTATTATTATTAAAAAAAAAAAAAAAAAGATTTATATTTCAATGTCAAAACAAAAGCCGCGCCCATTCGACGCGATTAGCATATCTGAATGATCCCTTAATAACATAAAATGATTCGATATTAGACAAATTCTGCAAAAATATAGATAACTGGCACTTCAGCTCCATCTGTTTTGATTTAAGTGTGCTCATTCTTGAGGTTTCCGCAGATGTTACAATTAAATGCACCATAAATTCTAACCGGTTCAATGGAAAGTTACCAAAATTATCTTCAAAATATCAGTGCCGTTTATGTATAGGATCGAACAACATGCTATTCTAAGTATAATCGTTAATTCGCATAAATGGATGTCGGAGTGTCGAAATACTCCAACATAAGATCAAAATATGCGAAGTGGTTGGTCAAAAACGTCTGAACGAATTGCTAGATGCGCAAAAATGAATGATGTGCTTTCTTTACACAGTACCAGAGTGTTCAATAGGTAATAAACCGTTGCGCCGTTGTTGACGGTTAGGTTTTAACGAATTTAGCAAATGTAGGGCTACCTGTATAATAATATTTTTGAAAACTTTATATAGTTCATATTTTTGCTTATTATAATAATTGTAACCGTAGGCACATTTGTATACCGTTAAGTTGTACAACTTCGATTCAGTAAGGCTACCTTGTGTCATTTTGGCTTCCGTTCTAGGAATGGTAAATCGACATAATATAAAGCGTTATTTAAGTCATCAAGCTTGGCACATACGCGGTAATATAAAAGATTCATATAAAGATAATCAAAACATTTCGCAAAGGTAAAAGCTCCGACTTTTGATAGTGCCTTTTTTTATTTATAAATTTAGCAAAGACACAGCTTTAAGTCAAAACGGATAACCATTGTAATTACGCCCTTGCGCTCTAAAATGTGAAGTAAAAGATAGTCCATTCTATACCAAGCCCCGTTAAGCTTTTGTTGTATGAGACACATAACATTTGTGGCAGAAAGATCTATGCTGTGGTACTAGTGCCGAGCAAACGTTCTTGTGTACTCCACGATGCTGTTTTGAACCGAGCTCACAAATAACCGCTGCTTTGTGTTATGTTTTTAGAGCTGATTGTGCTAAGGGAATAGCTATAGAAGGCCATCCCTGTAATAACTGAGTACTAATATGTTTTCATCTATAGAAGGCTATTTGTGCGCTTGTCAATTCTATTATAGAGATCACAAAAATGGCGAGCATTAGTTTGTATGGCAGAAGCGGCCCATCAGGCCTACCTGTGAACTCCCGGTTGTAATTTAATAGCACCACACGAAATTCCTGATTTAAAAGTTTATATTGTGTATGCGAGTTTCTACAACATACCTGTAGCGCACTGAGAAAAAACAAACAAAGTCAACTAATCTGGTTTTAAGTTACACCTGCGAGAGAGCTGGCTCTGTTTTAAACTAGTAGTGAAAGATTTTTACAGATCCGATTAAAATAATGGTGATGTATGTTTTTAATACATATATTAAAATATAGTCTAGAGGCACTAACTACAGTTAAAGAAGAAAATTGCGATAATATAATATCGATATAGATGCGATAATAGCCCAGATTAATGTATCTCATTGATTGCCTGTTGCCTGAGCTAAGTGTTATACGATATCATTAATAAGCAGATATGAGTCTCCTTCCATAATTGTAGAGTCTAGTAAACGGAAGTAATATATGTACAAAGTAAAACTATATGCTAAAGATTGTTTCCATTATCAGCCACTGATACTCAGTGATATGTACAAATTTAGTTCTTTTATCGGGTATCAAACTTATGTTTTTATTGTTAATTGAGATTGAAACATATTTTATAATTGCAACAAATGTAATTCTGGTTCCGACCCGCTATAGGTATGTAACTACCTTCCCACCAATTGGTCAATCTCTAGCAGTCAAAATTACTTATTACTGCAAATTTGGCGACAGCGATGGGAGTCCACCGCTTTGTGGAAGGTGCAGCAGTCCGAGCGGGTAGAACTCCTAGTTTTCGACGAGTGCCGCGCTACTAAATGAATGGAGAAAATAGTGCACCTAGCCAGAACAAGTACAAGAACAGGTGGTGAGCGCTTGAGGCCGTATCTACGCGGTCCAGTTTTAACACAGTGTTACCGAGAAGCGAAGCAAAATTTGCACGAATGGGTCCCTCCAGAAGGAAGCGCAGATGAAAATAAAAGAAGAGACGTTTCATAGGTTCACCAAGGTTAAGCAGGCTCTCAGGTCGCTCATTAAGACCGTTCGTCTGCCCCAGACGCCGGTAGAACTGTCAACATGCCTTTTCGCAAAGATCGGTCTGGGTTCCATGCGGTTGCTGCGAATGCCTAAAAAGGCACCTTTGTTCGCACTAGGTAAGTGAAGGTAAGTTACTACACCCCTTCTATTCATTCTTTCTTGACTTATCCAGCAACAGCCCGGGCTGTGTGAAAGATCTTCAATTTTCTTCAGGATCAGTACGGGGTTATGGACGCGGCAATTATGGATTTTAGATTACAAATTATTTTCAGGGCCGGTACGTGCAGCAGTATTTGACAAGTTCCAATGTTCGCCATTTGGAAACCGTCGTAGGCCGTCTCCAAGTGAATGGACTGGTGAAACGGATAATTCGCATGATCACAATGCGTCTCTCCAGGCGTCTGCTGACGCTTCCACGTCGCCATGCCCTTGATGATTACCTTGACAGTAAACGTTGCAATTAAAGAAGTCGTAAGCACACGCCGTGCAAATTACTCCTCAGGTTTTAGACCGTGCTGCGATAAAAATCCTTGAAGGTGCGATCTGCATAGGTGCCTCGTTGTTTGGCATACAAGCTGCGCACGGCGGATAATGCCCGAGTTCCCTAGAATAAACGGTCCTAGAAGAGACAACCCCTTGCACCGAACGTTTCAATCTGCGGAGTCCGTGCTTCTGTCTCTCGCAGGTCACGGAAGCTTCGGTTCAGGTTCGACGTAAAGTGAAGTGTCGAGAGCAAAATCTCGCTATACACATATCGTTTAGGCAGGTGAAGGTCACTGCCAACGCACGGTATCTCCGGAAAAAATGGACGCGGCATAAAGACCACCAGCCCTTTAACGTAGGCAAGTAAAACTTTACATAGCTACAACAAATCCGGTGTTTCCGACATCGCCGTCTGTGGATATATATCTCTTCCTCTCCGGCAGCTGACCAATCATCCAGCGGTAGAGCCTTGTCATTGCTGTAAGATAAAATAGGTTCAGGAAAAATTACTTGGTAAAGCAACTAAGAATTAAGTAGTACATTCTTTTGTCGCATATATTATATTGATCAGACCACTCATCTGGCACGTGCTACGATTCGCAGTAAAAACTGTGATCGTTATGTCATTTTATTTTTTCTTCATATTTTTTTTTATCTTGGTGGCACCTGTAGAATGGCCAACTGCTCCACAACATATACTTTAATGATTATGTAAATTAGCATTTAAAAGATATATTCAATGCATATGGCAACAGTCTACGCGGTTGTTTTTTAAAACCTAGAGAATTAGTGTGTGGTGTTGTGCTCTTACATGTTATTTAACAGGCATTGTGCATACAGACCAACACTAGAGAATGGAATTAAATCCAAATCGGCTTTTACTATATAAAACTTCTATATGTTCCTTTACTAATTTTCCTTGACACAGCAGATCTTTTTGTAAAATTCCGTCGAGTTTATTTACATTTGGCACGTTCCAATTCTTGACTTGTGCGCGCATTCATCCGGTTTCGAATTGCTGTTTATATTGCAGCAAAGCAGTCACCTTAGTTGTGTGACCTCACAATCGTCTGGCTGTTGGCCGGTAAGTTTTATTAGTGAGAATAGTTTCTAATTTGGCGTCAGTTCCGTGAAACGCTGGCTCCATCATGTTCTCTTTGCTAGCCAAGACGGGTATGGCTGTTGCTTGTCAACATACCCGAGGCATGGCAACCTTGAAGGATATTCGAGTTCGGCTGAAGTCCGTCAAAAACATCCAGAAGATCACCCAGTCAATGAAGATGGTGTCAGCGGCCAAATACGCACGGGCTGAGCGAGACTTAAAGCAGGCTCGACCTTACGGTGAGGGTGCTAGCAGCTTCTACAAAGCGGCTGAAGTATCGGCAGGTCAAGAACAAAAATCCACTCTAATCGTAGCAATTTCTTCGGACCGAGGCCTCTGTGGTGCCGTTCATTCTTCGGTAGCCAAAAAAGTCCGCTCTTGGATGACCGAAAACCCGCAACTTGCCCCGAACGCCAAAATTATTTGCGTCGGCGATAAGGTCAGCCATTTTCGTGTTTAATGAAATACGAAATAATATATGTCGTATCTATAATGCATGCGAATAAAAGTGAGCCATCATTTACAGATTAAGTGAATGTGCACCAAAAAAAATGAATGTTTGTGTTTATTCCAAAGTGATACAGTAACCACGATTTTACCTACAACTTGCTTTAATTAGAATAAAATAGGTTGCTTATTTGTTAGCTTATCATTTTCATCTTCAATTATTAGAAAGCTAATCACCTAATGAAAGAATTTTGTTTACCCTTTTTCTCAGTTTATTAAGGACAAACGTTTCTGCTTCAACTGCACATGCATAATCTAAAGCAAATATGCACATATAAAGAAGGCAATTGGATATTTAATATAAAAAAGGAAATTTAGATAAATGTAACTACAGTTCAACTTGAAATTTTGGATCTAACGCGTGGAAACGTTGTTTGGCGCTGGTCCACATGGTAAGGATTTGATAGACTTTCATTAAGATATTCAGCAGACCTTTTTCATAGTGACCCGTTTTTACTTGAAATTGTCAAAAGAAGAAATTTAATTTAGTAGTTACCGTTTCGCTTTTTTATCAACGGCTTCTGCTACAGGTCAAGGGAATCTTGCAACGACTATATGGCCCAAACATTCTGATGTCATTTAATGACTACGGCAAGAAGCCTCCAGTGTTTGAAGATGCCACCGCAGTAGCCAATGCGGTGCTTGAATCAGGATTCGAATTCGACCAGGGCATCCTTTTGTACAACAGATTCAAGTCAGTCGTTTCCTACGAAACGACAGATGCGCCTATATTTTCACTGGACGCCATCTCCGCTGCTCCAAAAATCGCTGTGTACGACTCAATTGATGCTGAGGTAAGTAAGGCGAGATGTGTGTCTCGAGGGCATGGGGGAAAGATAGGGTAAGTAAAAAGTAAAGTTTAAGTATTATTACCATTTCCGCGAAAATCTGCTCTTTCTTATAAATATAAAACGTCGAGGAAGAAATTTCATAACAACGTTGTTATTGATGTCATGAACACCAGTTTGGACAGCCTGAAAATCATCTGAATTTGAATCCGCTGAGCTTATTGCCTTCGTGTGTTGGGGTGATGCGTAGCACGTGTGTCAAACTAATCAACGACGTCATCAAAAGCTATAACAATGACAAAAACGGCAATGACTATTTTTGGTAACGACGAACCAGCAATGTTCAGTAGTGATTTTATCATTAGCAGTACTGTCTGTGGAACAATTGAACTCATCAGTCGCATACATTCGAAGGTTTTGATTTCTGTGAATATGAACCTGTTAAAGAAACTTTTTTTTATCTACTTAAATTCGAACCAAAAATTCAGTCCATAAGAACCCAAACTCATATTGACTAGTTCGTAGATGACTGTTTGGCTTCAGTTTAATTACGAAAAGAGCAGTAATCAAGGTTTACTTTTTTTGCAATACTCTATATGAAAATGACAGGTGCTGCGTAGCTACCAGGAGTACTCTCTTGCCTCACTGATCTATTATGCAATGAAGGAGAACGCTTGCTCGGAGCAGTCCGCGCGAATGACTGCCATGGATGGAGCATCAAAAAATGCCGGGGAAATGATCGACAAATTGACTTTGACGTTCAACCGTACTCGACAGGCTGTTATTACCAAGGAACTCATCGAGATCATCTCTGGCGCAGCCGCTTTGTAAACGTGCCTACCTTATTTCGATCAATACCGTGAATGATTGATCATGTACTCAAAGGCAGAAAGACCAGGGCTTTGATTTTTATAAAATACAGTTTTAATGACAGTAGAAACGAAAGTTGCTGCCACTGCCTATCAGCGATGATGTGAAAGCGAGGATGGCCCGATTCCAGAAAACTCGAGCCAATTAAATGTCCTGCTTCAGTCTTGGTTTTCCAAGGTGTCCTAGTGAATTAAGATCGGGTAATAGACCCTGTTCGACCACATCATGTTCAATTGAACCTTCACTATACTACAAACACCCAATGTATAACAGAAAGAGGATGAAAAGAATAATAAACATTGGAATTATAACAAACAAAAAAAATTATAACAATCATGTAGTACTTGAATTAAATCGTGAACTTCTTCAATTTTTAGGTAACAGTTTATATGTCTTCTAAAATAGCCCATGATGCTTTGAATATATTCGACTGTCGTGGACTTCGACTAAACTAACTAAACAAAATATTGGTCGATTTTGCATTACGCCCTGAATATATTATATTAATTTGCATATAATATGCAACATTTTTACATTCCTAAGGTTGTGAGCTCACTATTACCGAGGTGAAGCTGTGGCTAGCAACTATATATTTCAAGAGAAACAAGGGTTAGGTCTCATTGAAGCCATCTTTGTTATTTTTTTTTCAAAGGTAGGAGATAACAGGTCACACATACGAAAATATGAGATCACGTAGCCTATTATTCTATCCTCAGCTGTTAACTTTATGATCCTTCAGATTACTGAAATCCTTAGTTTTAGCTCGGGTATTTTCTATTGCAGAGATTTTGACAATGGGAAGTATTTTGTACACCTATTTTTTGGTCACTCTCGACACCTAAACACATTTTTATTTTTAACAAATTACGCTTCTTACAAATAAAATTAAAATATCCCGGGACAAGACATTCTTTTATTATGGCCTTATCTATGGCTCACAATTTCTCGTTTTAGAGCACAGGCTACATCCTCACATTGCAGTAATTTGACATCCCAAGAAATAGATCGCAGAATATGTAGAAAAAAGAAATAGCTAAAACCCCTACCTCTATATTGCCCTCAATATTAGACTATAAATAAATTTTGAAAATCTGTGACCTTTTTCTCGTCGCACTTTCAATTTTTTTGGCAGGATCAGCTGTGAGCAAAAAATTCTGGTTGTAAGAGTCTGCGTGCAAGAGAAAATGAAGCCCATAAAACAAAACAGTGCAGTAGCCCAGTTTTACGATACAGAAACATGCGGAAAATTCTTATAGAACTGTACCCATGTAACACCTATCAAAAGATGGGAGACATTAACTCATGGACTGAATGAAGCATGTATCTACTAAGCGATTTATTTAAACAAATTTAACTAAATAATTTAAATCCAGCCATGTCATTTTTGGTGATATTCGCGCGCGGTTCAGACGAGCAGCTCATCGAACGCTTCCCAAATATACTTGCGAACAGATCGTTTCTGAAACAAAAAAAATTAGGTTCCTGCTATTATCTCAGTCTATTTATAATTCGTTGGGCATCCTAGTCGCAGTTTTTACACATGCTTTGCTGTCATCATCAGGTACTTTAATGATTGGATTAACACGTGAACAGCTGATCGACTCTTTATTCGAATGGTTTGATTGCCATTGCCAATTTTAGCTTCTGCCTTGTTCCATGGCAGGCGTCGCTGAAACCGTATTTAGTAAGTACTCAAAAAAATACCATGCAAGTACTTAATTCGATCGCGCTTGGTAACTGCTTTAGAATCAGTCATGCTAGAAGTGACACGAGTATTTCTAGTTCGCACCTGGCCTGTTCGTTGAATGTTGTTGCATCGTGCGGAGTCATAAAACTAACTAGCTTTGGAATTACATCATAACGGATTCGTCTTCCTTTGCTAGCCTTAGTATCCACACGTCGCTTGATCTTTGAGCGTAGCTTTTGAATTTCGATCCAGTGTCGTGAAATTTCAAATGGATCCGATACATTTTGCGTCTTCCGCTCAATGACTTCTCGAAGAAGATGATGATAAAAGTCATCGTCGTCAAAGATTTCCGGCAGGATTTCTTTGGCAAAGCCTTCACCGACAATACTGGGAGCTTGCTAAAATAAAAAAATATATAAGAGTGATGTGAGTTATTTTGAACGAAAATTCTTCTGTTATTTTTATTAATATTCTTATTATCTGGGTCCCTAAGCATGATTTGAATAATACTATTGATAGGCAGTATACGAGCTAGAACTATTGTCTTATTCTTCAACTGACTTTTAATGCAACACGCGTTATGAAACTAACTTAATAGGTAGAAATACTAGCCACTGTAAAAGTCAGCACATCTATGTACCTGTTGATAAATGTCACTTTGTATAACGTATACAGAGCAGGTATTTAGTAATTTTTACCTTGCGTCGAGGTTTTATTATTATTATATTAATTATTAAATTAAAATTCTTGAACCACCAATGTACCTGTTTTAAATTTGGTAAACCGACGATACTGTATTGACTTCGTTTGATGCGTGTGCGCTGCAGTAGCCTATCCTGTTCAGCTAAAATGTGCTCAATTTGTTTGAGTGGGGCTTGTTCTAAGGCCGTATAACCAGCTTTCTTTCCTTTAACGGCTGAACCCAACTTTGTTCGCTGGTACCATTTTTCGATCGTTGTGTTTCTGAAAGTAAATTGCATTTAATTTTACTAAAGGCGACACTTCAGTTTTTAATCCGTAAAATAAAATATGTCTGTTGTATAAAATTATATAATTCACTAACCACAGGTTGGCTTGTTTGCTGAAGGCACTAACCTACTCTAAGGTTGTTGCTCCAATTGCGAGCTTACCTAAAATTTAAGAAATTTCGATGAAACTCTTCAGGAGCCAACGAGATTGAGCTATCAGTGCGCATTTTCTTATTCGACGCCAATTCAGTATTTTTTATTTCACGTTCACTGGCATCGTCCTTCCACAAACGTTTGCTGGCGAGAGATTGGTGCATCCGACTATTCTGCTCTCCATCGCTGTATGCCGATACGATGTCGCTTGGATTTTCTTCGTTATTGCTGGACATTACGTCATCATTTTCATCGACATTGGAATCATTTGATTTCCTGACCACGGAAAAAGAAAAATTCAACAGTGAAGCGATATTTTCCGTAAGAATACCCCAAAAGGTGCCAGTATATAACACCTACTCGCCAATTATTCTAGAGATAAAATAACACAACGCGAAATAAGGATTAATACTTAAACAGTCTCAAAAAATTCTTCATCTTCTATAGAATAATTTTGCCGTTCGTGTCTTTATAAGTTTTATCATAATTGAGCTAACCAAAATCTAATCCATGTTTCCGCTGCCGATACCAACTGTAAAACATTATATTTTTGTGTATTATGGCGCAAAGGAAGCCCTGTTAATTGGCAGATTTGGTAAACAACATTTCAGTCTCCTAAAGTTTCAATATTCGTTTAGAATACGTATAAATGATTGCTTTCCAAACAAAACGTGTGGTGTTTTCTAGCTAATGATTAAAATAAATTATAATTAATGTTACAGCGTGAAGATTTATCATCAGACCTACTCAAAATAGTATATATAGGAAATATAAGACGATCTTACTTATGCTCGTTTATTAGTTGTCACATTAAGCTTTTGAAAATTCTACAGTCAAAACTTACGAACCGCAAAAGCTAACAACAATGAATTTGGGCACCTATCTAACGAAAACTAGCGTTTATTTCGTAAGTAGACAGGCGTAGCTATTACTCTGTCTCCCTTTATTTTTCGAAGCAAACTTTTCTGCAATCTTTTTATCGAGTTCCTGCAGGAGAGTCAACCATTATACAAACCTATGTTCAAGTGACTTTTTAACTTCAGGGAACATCTCTAGAAGTTGCTGTCGAATAGCGATAAGCTGTCCGAACGCCTTTTCGGCGTTTTTAATGGTTTGACGATACAAGCGATTATTGTCGGAATCGGCGAAAAATTCCTTCGTTACATTCTTAAATACATGAAATGGTGGCAACTGATTGGACAACGCTAAAATGCGCTGAAACTGTATCCGATGCTCAAGCAATCTATCCCACACTTTTAGCTGATGCCCAATACAACGACCCTTCTGAACATCTTCCGAAAAATCTTCCGAAGCAGAGTACTCTCTTTCCATTGATTCCTTCAAGTGTCTGTAACGATACGAGGTAGCAGCACGCATTAAATACAAGCGACGCCGACTAGAATAAAATTCATCCTATAGACAATGGTAAACCGAAATATTTTATACTTTGTCCTAGACAGAAGAAAGGAAAATAAAAAATCGTTGCCTTCTTTAGGCAACTTTAATACAACATTTGCTGCCAAATTTCAATAGTTTGTATATACTTAAGGAAACTATAAATTTCGGTATAAGTACGCTAAATTAAACAACCTCTAATGGTGTGTATCGCAAATATTCAATTACAAATTATTGACTATTGTTAAGTTTAACTCCTACTCACTTGAATTTGTCACCTGCAGCGTCAAACTTTATTTTGCCAGTAAAATGCATTGTCTTGCGATTCATAGACTGTGAAGAATCACAGTCCGTCACGTTATCGTCCTTATCACTTTCACTATCTTCGCTTAAGTTATAATCTGTGCTGTTATACTTTTTATCGTTGCTTGTTTCTTTTCGCTTTTCATGCTGTGAGTGAGTTTTACCAGCCTCAACGGCATCTTCATTTAGTTCTTCAACCCCACTACTATTTGAGCCCTTCTCGTCGAAGGACTGTTCGGCTTCCTCTGCAATATAATTTTCATGTTAATTGTTGTCAGTTCACCGTAGGATACGCGCATGCAATCTTATGAATCTTATGCAATCTTAAAAAATAAATGAATATACATAAATTATCTAACATATTTATGGTGTTGTGGAAAACAAAATTTATAAAGTTTGGGAGCCTCATAAAGTTGCACTTAGAGGTGTTTTATGTTATAGTATTTTATAATACTAGTTATTTCTTAGTGTTGTTCCAATCTGTTTTTGCACATTATAAAAGTGGGTAATTACCACCAGTATCATCCAGCTCGTCCGAATCGCTCTCCTGTGTATCATTTTTGTCGTCTTCTCCTTGTATGTCATAAAGGTCAGGATCAAGTTCGAACCGTTCATCAGGAAACTTTTCATCTTCGAGCATCATCTCTTTTCGAGAGACGACACGCCCTCTATATATGGGTTCATTAAGAAGAGTTGTATTTGTTCGGAATGGGAGCAACTCATAATCCGTTGACGCAGACGTAACTTTCGCTGCACTCTCTGAATTATAGATTATACAAAAAAAAAATATGTCACCTTCTAAATCATCGACCCTATACTCCACCGTAATAAAAATTAATTTTTTGGTGGACTGAATATATATCCGCATAATAAAGGAAGCAACTAAGGATTCAATAATAGCAACAATAGATCGCTAACAAAAGCGTCGAAAACAACAAGTTTTAAGACCGGTATGCAATAAGCAACAACCTAAATTGATAAAATCTCGGTCAAACTCACCTTCATTAAGCACATCTTCGATATCTCTTTCTCGTGGCGCCGTTAAGGCCAGTGCCTTCAATTCATCCGCAAACGACATCTCACTACTGTATGTATAAGGAAGTAAACGATGTGTGCTCGTTATATGTGGATTCATATTAAATTAGTTAAATAGATCTAGAAAATAAAAATGAAGTTTTTCATCAAGTTATCCGAAACGATCAGTTCATTACATAATATGTAAAAACTTATTGTGTTTTCTAAGTTAAATCTAAATAAATAAATATAAATAGACAAAAATAACTAGCTTATATCACTATAAAACGCGATCTTGCTGAGAAAGATTGATGCTAGCTATGGGTCGATCATGTATTATTCCAGAAAAGAAGCGCATATTTTAAGTTTTGAGGCATAGTTCAGTTAATTGCTTTGTTTTGCTACATCCGATTTGGAAACCCTTTGCATATGTCAAAAAAGCAACACATATTTAAGCTTTTTTATAATTTTTTCAAACACGTAGTATAGCGAATACTGATGATGAAGCTTCCGAGACGATAACTAAGCCGTAAATATTAAGATAATTAAGGACAGCGATTGTTTTATGAATCACCGCAGATACTAGAGAGAAAGACTAGCATTTCCGAAGCGATCAAAGGCTTTTTAGTGAACTATTTTAGATAAAAAAAAAAATTTGATTGAAACGGATCTAATCATATGTCGGAGTTAGAAAGTTACTTTTGCTGTGCTAATCTAATGTAATGTAAACATACCCAATCATAGACATATGTTTCAAATAATAAGGCAAAGCATTACTCACCTCCAGGCTATGTTAAATACTAATTGTCGTCGATATTCAAAATAATACAACGAAAAAAACGTGAGACAAACTTTAGTTGTCGCTAATGGAAAGAAAAGGTTAAAAATGATTGCAAAGTTTCGAACAGTCCGACAGTTGAAACGACAGTTGCAAGTTGTTTACATTTGCGGCTTAACCTTCGGAATTTCCGCCGTCTTTAATGGTAGATCTATCCATTGATTTAAAAATAATGCCGATGAACGGTTTCTTTTCCCTAACTTAAGTTAGAACAAATTTTTGGCTAATATATGAATTTATTAATTTATTCATTTCAATAAACGAAATGATCTGTATCTTTAAATATAGCTTACAGACTAATAAAGACATCTTCATTGAACGAAGAACAACATTGGTCGCCATTTTAGTATGAGCCACTATCCATTCTACATGATCCATGTACAACTATAATAAAGCGGTAGAAGTTTTGGCGCCAATTATAACTTTTTTGGGTCTAAAAACAAGTTCGGTTTTTCTATTCGTTTAAGTTTCCATGTTATAATGGAAGCAGCTACAGAAACTGAAGTGGCTATCGAAAATAAGGAAAATAATCTCGAACAAGCTGCTGTCCCGACCAAAAAAGAGCAACTAGTCATCGACACGTGGTGAGAATCATCCGCTTTCATTTAGTAACCATTAATTAAACAATGTATTTACATTCTATTTATTCAAAAATTCATTTTGTTTGGGTTCCACACATTTTCGTACAAATCAAATCATATTTTAGATAACGTATTAAATCAACGCAAGCATTTATACAACGGTTCGAAGGACGATTTGCGAACGTGACGGGCAGACGTAATATACATATATATTCAACTCAACCAAATATTTAGATTTCAGGCATTGTCCATACATATTATACGTAGCTAATCATAATTTGCGGATCAACTGTTGCGAACTGAGTCCCATTTTTTAAATTTGAATACATGGATTATATGAAGTCCTAATACTCGCGACTAAACATTACTAAGGAGACAAAGAAAATTTTCAGAATGGATTGACAAATATGTCAAGCAAAATGTGTCAGCATTTGTAGGTCATAGTTTGAACGAACTAAGTCCTATTTAATAGGTCATATTTAATCAGTAAATGTGATTATACGTTAAAAAATATGTCCTCACCCGCAAAACAAAGTTCAGTTTTTTACTACACCTTCGCTTACTATTTAAGTTTAGCTACATTATCTGGCGAATCTAATTCATAATTCATTTATAAACCTTCCGTAACTTTTCAGCTTTACGGATGCTTTGAAGATCTACTATGACCGACTTTTTCCAGTTAACCTATTTTACAAATGGCTGAGTTACGGAAGAGGTAGGCTATGTAATATTAACGCGTGGCTAATTTGTTATAAACAGGAGCATCAATTAGTTATCGTCCGACAGTTAGACCCATTAGCTGCTTAATTAGCATTTCTGGTTATGCAAAATTTAGTAAACGACCAAGACGATTGATAGAAGTGATCAGATACTCCTAGGGGTACTAATGCTTTAAATACTTATATCACGAATAGTCACAGTTGTATCCTATCATTACAGATCCTGCCGAGGGATATTTTGTAAATCGAGAATTTTCATTTACACTTGAGGGAGACATCTATTTGCGATATTTATCATTTAAGGATAATATCAACTTCAAAGCAGACCTCATTAAAAATATCCCGATCAAGATTGATCTCGGCGCAGTCTACGACTACATCGTATGTTCTCGTTTTTAACTTCCTTTATTAACAACAGTCGATAAAAGATTATTCTGCTATAGGCTCAGTAATACATTTAATTTTAACAAATGATTAAAAAAAATTGGTGAGAAGCGCTGCGGCCAGTATGCCTTGTAGTAAACAGGTTGTTAAGTACTGCACGTTTTGCACTAGGTGTTTCAACATTGATATCTTCACCGCTCCAAGCACACTTTTGAATCATTGAAAAACATTTTATGTAGTCACCTAAACATTCATACAAAAGCATTCTTGCATAATTTTGTTCCATAAATTGAAATATGTCGTGAAATTCCCCGTTGTGCTTAATAATGCTACAATGGTCTAAATTTCTCTTGTATATTAAAGAAAGAAATGTAATTTTTACGTAAGTCTATGTTCTACACTAATTAAGCATACGTTTGTATAAGGAGAATGTACTGTTTATTCAGTTGTATGTTGAGGACTGCAATTTTAAGAATAAACGTTCTGATAATCTTGTTAGCTTTTTATTTGAGTGTGGCCACAATTTAGGTTTATAAAAGCTTGAAAAAAAAGTGGCGTGGTAAAAACACCCTGATTCCTCATAACATATTCGTATGTGCTTCTTCCCAAAAGAAGTAATCGAAATTGACAAGTCGGTGCTCAAAACTTGTTATAGGGTATTCTGTCACACATAGCTTAACGGTTAACCCGCCGGCACTTCTCCTATGTCTATCCCAAAACACTAAGCTTAAGCAAATTGACCAATTACTAAAAAAATATTGTTTTTATAGTGAAACATAGATTTAAGATGGCATTTTGAATGCAATGTGATAATGTCTAAATTATTATACTTCTAAGAAAATTTTGCAGTGGACCAAATTCGCCACTAAAAGTGGGTTTAGTGTAAAGATCAAAACTAAGGGACCATTAAGAGAAACGTTTTAATGACACTTGGAAAGCAGAACTCATCGTTCACTACTGTACACGCTCACACATAATTATCGTAGACACTGGTAAGTATACGTTTCAGTGAATTTGTATACGATAGGTGCATAAAAGCGTTAACAATCGGTGACAAGCCTGACCTGACATGAGAATGAGGAATGACACTCTCATTCATTCGTACCCGGAAGTTCCAGGATTTTAAGGACAACATAATCAAGTTAATTTATTTTTCTCAAGTTATATTTTGGTAAAACATTGAGAAATTGGTTGTGAATGAGCACTTTAAACTTGGATATGAAAGCCAAAGATAAACTATTAAGTTGTATTTGATCGATCAATTTGAAAGCTTAAATATTCTATACACGTAAGAGCTACGTTGCTACGGAATTTAGAATAGAGTAATATGCGAACTATTCTTTATAGACTTTAGCAGTTTACGCTCGCAGGTAACATTGGCGATTATACTTTTCCATAGCCTACAACAAGAGTGTGTAATTTTGTTAGTAGACTTTAGTTTTAGACGATACTTTAGTTTTACTCGGGAAAATATAATTAAACATTTGCAAAATGGAGCGTTTTTTATCATCTTGCGCAAGAAGCGGGCTGATAATGGCAATTTTAAATAGGTTGAAAATTGCGCCGTCTTCAAGTTAGCGTTAAAAGATCAGAGACAGGGCCAGTAGGCAATGCAATCACATTTCTTCAGACGAGGGCAGAAATTATTTTTCATATCCAGCCCCATTTCTGTGTCAGTTTTCAAAAGCTGTCTATCTCGTTCTCGACAAATGAGTCACTTATGATGAACAGTGAATACCTGTTTATTTTGAACCGCTAACTCGTTCGATGAACAAGACCCGGTTTCATAAACAAAACGAACGGAGGATTAGTTGACTTTATGAAACTGAATTTAGCGTGATAAAATTGTGTAAATTAAACAAACGCATGCGAGAGCTCTAGTGGAGTTCGGGTAGGGTACTAAAGCCTAAAAATGAACCTTTCTTCAGGGATGCCTTCAACGGCATTAATAACTATGGCAACAGATAATTACAAAATCATATTTGCTTTAGTGTCTCCTTTAAACTAAATAAAATATAACAGTACTGAAAAGAAAAAATGTTTGAGTTTTGAGGGGACGAGGTAGGCAAAACGCCAGATTAATAAGCACCAAGTCCGGGATTCCATGTAAAGCTGAGACATAACATTTTAAAACTACTCAGGCTGTTAGTGTAAGTTAAACACTTGCTTTGAAAAAAAGTTTAATCAGGGTGACCATCACTGTATTACTAATCGGTGATATATCCAGAATAGGAGCCGAGTCATTTTGAAGCTAATTTTGTGATATCGACGTTAAATAGTTTCAATTTCGTTAAAAAATAAGTGATAATAAAGTCGCCGACAAAGCTAAATTTGACCCTTAAACTCTCATTTAAAATTGTTTTCTCTTCGGTAGAAAACGTTTTCTACGTATGTTGTACGTATATTGGACTCAAAAAAGCGGCCACTTTAAATGTTTGAGCGAATAATACAAGTGTAATAATGTATACATTTAATGGTAATTTTCGACTAGAACGACAAGTCGAGCAGAAAACCACGCGAACGCGAGTATGTCCTGGATATTGACATGACTGATTTTGACGACGTCCGTTCTTGTTGTTCGGCAACCGACATCTGTTTACGCTGTTGGCCATTTATGACGATTGCTATTCGTTGTTTAAATGCCGCCCTAACAGGTATAGAAAAATCATAACTAATAAGTGGTTTCCTTATCATTCTATTAACTATTGACAATAAAGGAGGCATGGCTAATCGCAGACTAATGTTAAATGCAACTGTGTGGAAATTTTGATTTTACAAAATGCGATCTTATTTGCTTGAATTAACTTTCTTTGTTTGAGTGTAGGGAAAAAGTGCGATGTGCAGTTATAGATTAAGCCTTGTCAAACCTCGCACACGTTCACATATAACAACTCTGCAACTACTGGGTGTCTTTTGTTTAGAGGATTTCGGATTCCGACATCTCCTTTGGGTATATTCGGGTCGTCGAGGCATCCACTGTTGGGTAGCAGATCGTATGTCACGAGAAATGTCATCATCATGCCGAGGCGCAGTCACCAACTACCTAGACGTTCTCACCGAGGTTAACCCTAAACGCCCTAAAATCCTCTTCAAGATGCATCCAGCCCTCGAACGGGCTGCTGGCATCATGCGCAAGTACATGGACGATATGGTTGTGCACAAACAGAAATGGGCCGACAGTACTGACTGGTGGACAAAAGTAATTCGTCGAATTAAATTGACTTAAATTAATTGAGATAACTAAATGTTTTACGTTTTTACTGTTTCTAAGAATTGCTTCAAACGGCCTTTGTACCTCGAAGCCTGAAAAAAAATAAGATAGCTATAAAAAGTCGCCATCTAATGTATACGTAACGTCCTATTAGGATAGAAAAACAGCTTGGTAGATGCATTGCCTACCCACAGCTGTTGACATTTAATATAATCCAATCAGAGGGCGCTTTGGATGGCATAAAAAATCGAAAAATAATCCTTATTTTATATAACTTGCAATCGTCAAGTTTTCTGGCTACCGTATCCGAGAGTAGAAATAGTCATTTGTTCCATTGAGCTAACAAATTACTTGGCAATGTCCTGCAGGTTTTATTCCCGTGTGTACATTTATCTTTATCGTTACTGTTTAGGTATTAAAAATGTGCCTTGATATAGACTTACGTGACAACCTTGAGAAACGCGTCCTGGAAGCGAAAGACGGAATAACCCGTTGGGAAGTTTTCAAAGCTCTCGCCGATAACAGACAAAGCAAAAAGCATCCGTTCTACTTTGAAGAAGTAAGTTCGTTAATTGAAGTGTATTATTTCAACTCTGCATTAGTATTACTCAAACCGATTGCTTTTGTTCCTATTTTCTTTTGTGCTATTTTATAGCCTTTTTTTGCCTTTCGCAAAATCGCAATCCAGAAACCATCAATTTAGAATCAGATTGAATTTTATTACTTCTAAGTACTATCTTTCGTCTTTCTCAATAGTTTACATGTACTAGTTGTTATTATATATATATATATATATATATACTATAATAATCTGGAGAACGCATTTGTATACTCTTAGAATTCTAATTTCAAAAATTGGTTCAAATTATAAGTGTGAGCTGTCTCTATTGTTGCAGTTACTTTTTCATTTACTATATCCGCGACTAGACGTAAACGTTTCGATGGGACTTAATCACCTTCTCAAGGCACCTTTTTGTCTACACCCCAAAACTGGGCGTGTGTGTGTGCCCATTGACGTCGACAACGTGGATGAATTTGATCCGTTTAGTGTACCAACAGGCAGGTCCGTAAAAGTATTTACTTTTTTATCTATATGAGCCCTTCGAAACAACGGGTTTCTCTTCGAAAAGAGGGAAGTGATCGATCTATGCTCCAGCAAACATCTACATTTCGTGAGAAATTTTATATTTGTTTGCAAATGAGCAAATTAATTGTTTTAAAAGCAAAATGTTTGTTATTACATAAATTATACCCATCGTGCGTATTCAATTATTATTACTGAGGCAATGAAAGTTCGGTAGTGTCTGTAAGCTTATTGACTACCAGCTGCCTTCATCAATCAGTTCTCTACATCCAAAATGATGTTTGTAATTTTCATAATAGGCCATACATTTTAGTAACGTCAATGTGTAATTCGAAGTAATTGAGTTTACCTACTAGTGTATACCAGTTATTGCCATGGATTAGGTCGCACTGAATGTATGAATTCGAACAATATAGAAAGTCAGGAGTTGAGAATAACTAGGTTTTTTGGTTAGTTAAGATATTGGATAGGAAAACAGCGTTACTATAGAGACCGTTATAAGGCAATCATGCATTTCGCCCTGAGGATGGGAAAAGAACAATAGATGGCTAGTAAACGCTTACATTCAAAGTAAGTTATCATTTATTTAATAAATTCCCCCCGCCACGGTCAATCAACTTACGTATTAGTTGTTGTACATAATATTGCAAGCAGGAAAACATAACTTGAGCTTAGAAGAACAAAATGTTCAGAGACCAAAGTCTTCATAATACTTACACATTAGTCAAAAACAAATATATATATACATATATCAGTGTTAAACAACTGTTGTTACTGGACTAGTTTACTTTAGATAGGCAAGTTTCCATCTTATTAACATAGACTCGACTTTCGCCCGATATGCAGGTGTCACTACAGAGTTCTCTCATCAGATCGTGCTTATGTATAGTATTTCGCTGAAATCATTAGATAGATGATACATATTCGCGCATGTATGATACATAATGATATTAATAATGGGCTTTCATATAGAAAATTAACTAGATAATAATATATTTGAAACTATGACCTGACTACAGTACGTACAACGGATTTTCAGCTCGCTGCTAGCTGAACTGGACGCGTACATAAGAGGTGAAACAGAAAATTTGGCTGACTTCAAGAAGACTTCCCTGAAGCCATACGTCGAATATTTTGGAAGTTTCGTCCGCCGTCTGCTTGCGAAGGCGCCTCATAGGCCCGGTACGCGCATGCCTACGCGGTATCTATGTAATTTTCACATATCATTTCGCATATGAAGTAAGCGATTTTTTAGCAGATTGAATGAACGTGCATGATCGCTTGCAAACATTCAGGGTATCGCATCGACTGAATTTTGTTACCATTATTATTATTTAATTATCCATTTTATTATTATTATGCACAAAATATGATAGGACGCTGTTGTCCTAATATTCTACACAACCAAGGTGTGCAGGTGCATTCGGTGGTACCAATAAAAGTATTAATAACTTTTTCAGTGATTTTGTAAGTGTTATAATAGACGAACTTCATGACGTTCGGCTGCATTTCAATGCACAACATTAGCTTCGGCAAACATTTTGGTGACTGTTAGCTTAATTTATTTCAGAATACGACGATCTGGACTTTTGAATTTTGCGGTTGTGTGAATTGTGTGAACAAAACGTAGATCAAGCTACGAATAAAGTTTCCCTTTAATCAACGGACGAACTGTGTCGTTTTATTATAAAAGGTTACAATTGTACACTGATAATGGATCCAAAGTAATTTTATACACTCTTTGCTCTGGTGATAGATCTATGTAGAGTAATTTCACCTTGATATTGTAAATACAATAAAACAGGTTTTGTGAGGGCTAAAACCCCCCTAAAGATCTATTGGTTCCAACTATGATAGTTTCAGCTTTGTTAGAAATTAGTATACCTAACAATTTTCATACCTTATATTTGTCTTGCGACCCAGTATCGCGCTGTCTAACGAGGTTAATATTCTGAATATTTATTTCTCACGACAAATTTTCAAATCAGGGTAAAGCTGGTAAAGCCTGGTGGAGAAAGCTAATAAAAGGGTAAAAGGCTAATAAAGGTTGTTTACATTTATCTCAAATTAAAACGTCGTCTCATTTCTACGATGTTATTTGGAACAGCTTATCGAAGCGAACGGGCTAATCATAAATGCTTGAACTCTTTAATATACAAAAATGTAACTAACACGACTCAGAACTTGTAGAATAAACGTATTGTCAATGCAATGATTTCTTAATAAGCATAATATATTTCATCACATCATTATTATTCGACGCCATTACATACGACATCATATGTAAGCCAATAAACAACTTGTTTTCTTGTACCAGCTGCTGTTCGGAGCCATTCGTTTTTCTCCGAACTTTCCTTGCTATAAATACCAAAGATCTATATTTATTAAATGCGCGCTGCCAGATTGCTGGTACCCTACTTCGATCTATCGTGGTTTTAGCTTGAAAACAAACTGATATAAAACTTTACAAAACGAAGCACCAAAGTGAAATGAGTTCTTGGTATAGTATATGCATTGACTGAGAAGTTTTCACATTAAATTCTGCTTCAGTTACCCTTTCCATATCGTCAGCTCGAAGCGCTCTATCTCTGTGGGAGTGTTTGCAAACAATATCGTTCGTGCGTTGATATATGACAATCATTTGAACCGAGATAGTTATAAATTCAATTGTAGCACTCTGTTTTGGAGTAGATCTCACGCTTTGCAGTCAGGCCTGTTCCGTTTTAAGCAAAATGGCCAAAAGCATCCGCAGCCAGCGTGGCAAAAAAATGCGGGCCATAAAGCGTGTCCGTTATGCCCAGAAGCAACTTAAGCAGCTGAAGGTAAATATCCTGAGTCCTCAGAGTAAACAATGTAGTGTGCGCTGTTCTATCTTGGCTGCTGCAGGCCATAACTTCAAAGAATGAATTGCAGTCCTTGCTATTTCTCTTCCCTTATGCGAGATGCGATTTTATTAATTCTAGTACTTTGCTTTTGTTTAATGACTGGTGTTCGTCACATGATGGCGTAATATTTGGCACTTTAGTAGAATTTGATTTTGATTTCCCAACGCTAAAATAAACCAAATCTTCAAATATTTATAGTACATTTTATGAGAGATCTCTAGTTTGGAGTGGAAGGGCGTATAAAGAACGAATAAACATAGAATTATAAGCTATTTTGTATACGGTTTCTACCATGTACTTTGTCAAAATGTTGGTTTTCGTGATTCAAGTGACGCGTGTTTGTAAATACTGTGATTTGTTCTGTACTACATAGTGCCACCTATGGTTGAAAACTATTGTCTACCTGACGAAACAGTTATTGAGATTTTAAGACGTTCCGAATTGTACATTATATTGTAATAAGTGTTTTATCAAGGTGGTAATAAATGTTGATTGGCTAAAAACTAGTTACTGGTGTATCACTTTCTTATGAATAGGAGACAGTAGCAAAAACGGTAAACCATGTCACTGTGGGCAGCATGGATATAGATTCTGCTAGGGCAGAGGTTGCAGATTACATCGAATGGAAGAAAAAACAGGTTGCAGAAAAACTACAGAAACAAGAGGAAAGCGCGATGGATTTAGACGAAGTTCCGGTAAGAAAAATGATGCACTCCAGATATTCAGCGAACGGTTCTCTTTAGTTTTGGATGCCACTATTCCATAGGAATGTTTCTTTTTTTTGCATTTGCAAGGTAACAAATCATACTGATGTATCTTCAATAATGTACCCAAGTTTGAGATCCGGAAAAATATGGATCAAAACTAGAATCTGTCTACATTATTCGAATGGTAGGATGTCCCCGAAAATTCTAGAAATTAAGAATTTTATCAATATCAATCTTGATGCCAAAACACGTGTTTTCATCATTTTGTAACTACCGAAAAAGTATTGCAATGCTTTTGGCATAGTACCCATACATTTTTAAGCTTTCAAGTCAATCTGAATTTTTAGACTGGGGCTAGTTACTTTGAAATATCACATTGACAGTGGGTTAGCTTTCAGGGGTACTTTAATATCATACTTTTAACGGTTTCCTAAAAACTTAAAGAAGAATATCTCTTTATAGGCAATAATCGCTTACAAAATTACTGAGAGATAAAATGACGTAAAAAAAACTAAACTAAAGTGCCTAAACACGGCCTTAAGTACCGCTTTTTAATAATTTCTCTCTCAAAACTGTGCTCAAAAGCCTGTGCCGCCTTACTAAACTACTCTGCCTATTACAGCAATGGCGTCGCTTCATTGTACACATGGCGAGAAACGCTGCATGAAAATGTTCTATAAACCGGTATCCTCAAGTGATGTATTAAGTGTACCGAATTCGCCCCGTAATACATCAGCCACATTAGAACTTGTTGCCGACCGCCCTCAATGACAATAGTGGAATACGTTTCGCGTAAACCATTTAGGAGTGGGATGGAGTTACACGTTTTTGTTACACGCATCTCGGGAATACGCGTTGGGCTGTCCTGCAACCAACTGTTGATCCCGTGAAGGTCTGCCGGTTCCTACAGACAACTTATCTCAGGCGACCTTAGTGCACTGGAAAAGATCGTCTATCGTTGATTTGTATACTGAATCTTCTTCCAGCGCTTCATCGGCATCACAGTTTATGTGATCCCTTTCTATCTATAGATTATCCACAACAGCCGATTGAGGAGTTACCAAATAGCATTTTAGACTAACGAACATGGATTGAAGTTCTTAGTGTAGCTAGAGGAGATGGTAGAATCGCGCTGAATGATGTTCAAGTACACTTTATTTCAGTAAACGCCCCATGCTCTTTGTTTCCGGTAGCTTTTTTTTTAATGCATCGCTTTCGTTTAAGCAGGCAGTAGCGGTCCTCAGGTGATGATTTTCTCGGGTTCTGGTACGTGTTCCTTGGTTATAACAGTAGCTTTTTCAAGTTAACGATATAATCAACTGTGATATAATCAGCTCGTCCAGGTAACCATTCGCTGGCACGATATGCCAGTCTTGCAGGAGATGCTGAACCCAACACGAGTAGCGGGAGTGTAGCCTCTATTTAGAGCAACTGATAACCTTGTAAACTCTTAAGTCGAACTTCGCCGGATAGCGGACGATGTAGTCTTTGAGACGTGTAAACGCCTGAATTAGGCGAACAAAGCATGTGTTTCCAATTTTTATTGAAAGCATAGGATTTTTTATGGGACGGACATCGGCGGTTTCTGCGGTTTCTAGCACCACAGAAATCTCGAACAGCTGCAGGCTAGAAACTTTGAAAATTGAACACGCTATTAACAGGGGTTGCCATATGCTCCGAAACGTCTTTGAGCATTCTGGGATCTTGCTTGACGGAGTGCTCAGACTACCTATAGTGAAAAGGCAAAGGCAGCAAGCCATGCAATCGACCTAGCGCTGTCGGTTACTATCAGGACGAAGATGGAACTAGAGAACAAAGTAAACCTAACTTTAAGTAATGTGACACGTTAGATGAGCAGACACCAGTTTGAACTACTGAGAAAAAGGCACTATTTATTTGCAAAAACCCTAACGTTAGTTTGGGAAGATACATTTATAGATAATTTATAGATAAATGCTTGGGAGTGAAACTTAATCAGGACCCAGTCGGAGCTTTACACCAACTCAAATGCTGAAGAAGGGAGCTTTAACCGCATAAAGTTTCAGAACAGACTGGTGCCGAAATCAGAAATTGGGGGTAAGAAAAAGAGGAAGGTACTGTAGCGGCGTATTGTATTTTTCTACGTAGCCCAAAAAGAAGTATCAGATCAAAAAGAAGTAAAGACCACCCGAGGACGCCACTGCGGCTTCGTTTTCCGCGGGTAAATAGAGCATTACAAATCCAGGTCTCACTGTCCATAAGCGTTTGCAAACGTATCTTCACGGAATAGGAGAGGCGCTAAGCGACTCGTGCATCACATGCAACGATGGCATGTACGACGCCATGACTCATATCTTGGGGCACTGCACCGTCTATGAAAAGGAAGGGGTACAAGTGGAAGAAAACTAGGGCATACATTTAAGGCCGACGTCATGATAAACTGAATTCTTCGTAAGGTAGCAAGAAGGTTATAAAGCTTAAAGACCGGGAGCGAATAAGACATAGCCAGACGGTAGAATTGCCCCGAGCCCTGCGTGAGTGCAAGAGTATTTTTCTTGGAGGAACATGGTTTTTGGTGATCACCCAGCCAGTTAAAAAAAAATGGTGGCTAAAGAACGACACTACTGTAGCACACGCTTAGAGGCCAGGCCCGGCGTTGGTAAAGATCTGCAAATTAACTTCAAGAAGACACATTGAATTCTGACCGCCTACAGGAAAACTGCGATTCTTCTGTATAAGCTTAACGGCAAGCGTAGAAGCCTTGTCATTTACGTTTCTTTTCAAAATTGACTAAAGTTTATAATAAATCGAAAGCTATAATACATGGATCGGAGTCAATAAGTGCAATCTAGGCCATATTGAAGTTTAGAGTAAAATAGATATATGTCGTGTTCTCTTACCAGCTTTACTATCCAGTTGCAGAATATAGTGCTTAAGGGCCGCTATAATATTTTTTTAGTTATTGATTCAGTACGTCCTCGACAACTTTGTTGAGTTAAAAGAAATTCAGGTAAATATATGCTCCTTTCGTATAATGTTATGGGGTATGTGATCTCATCTCACCTGAACCAATAACGTAGGCAATATGAATTGTTCTGTTAATAATAATTTGCTAATTGGACCATTAAGAGCATTCACTGTCCGTTAAGCAACTACGAAATACTCATTTTTAATAGCAGGAAAGTACCCGCTTAATCGATAATTATACTAAGGCGATAATTATTCGACCGTACAATTGTCGTTAAATTCAGAGAATTAAGCGGTAATAATATTTGTATTATTATGATAAGTGTATTCATTTGGTGAAAAATGTTTATTTTAAGCCGTGGCGTACACATAATTTTTATGCGTTACTTTTGTTTGTAGAGCTAACTTTACTGAATCCTAATCAGACGTCTTCTCTACGAATTGCAGGAATTTAGTATGAAAACTATGAGGAATAGGAGCGGTGACTACCCCAAATGGATGGGTCAAAAACAAATACGCAAGCAAAAATACAAAAAGGACAAGTCAAGGAGGAGTAATGGTCGTAAAAAAGGGTGGTAGTTTGGAGGAGGGCTCACAACAGTGATTAGCTCTAAAGCTTGCATTGTTTCAAAAGACTTGTGGTTATGGCAAAGTAAATAGAGCACTATTCATTCACCGGCTGCGTTAGGTTGTTATACAGGCAGGTTCTCTATGAAAATAAAGTTTTGTGTATAAATTGGAATGAACTCGTGTCTTAAACATTGTATGCATTTTATTTAGTTTAAGCTATTGACACTTGCACATCATGTTTTCAATTAGGATACGTATATTTTGTCAAATAATATGCTAGTATATTTAGAAGCTGTACTAACGCGACATTGTGGCTCACTTCTACAAGCCTAAAGCTATATGTGTATATGAACATGAGTAATATTAAGTAGAAGGAAGAGGGTGTCAGATTTGATTTGATTGCGCTGAGGTATGAAGAATTACGTAAAATTTTTGATGCCGCCAGTGACAGCATACCTAAGAATACACTAAGTACCAAAGGGCCCCTGACACGTTCGATACGCTTACTTACACCCAACAGCAGATGTGCATCAGCTTCCTAAGACTAAGCGTAAGCCACACGCGAATGGTTGACTGTTCATGCGCTTACATATCGGTGATGATGGAGAACGCTGGGTTGAGACATGGCATTACATTACAGATTGAACAAGTGGTCTAAACAACACCGGTTTATTTAAAAAATTAGGTGACAAGTAACTGCTGCGGATTAATTAACAATATGATGTTTGATTCATGCGTGTCTTAGCATGAAATCATTCAATTTAGCTTGTAAGAAAGCAAGCTCTTTCCAAAACGACGAATTTGCCGATAAAAATCTAGTCTACAACCTTTAATGCACTAGCAGAAAAATAGAGCAACAAAAGCATACGTCACATGAGAATGGCGGCGTTGTACCTGCTTAATTTTCTTTCATGCTACGAAAGTTTTGAGCTAAGGTAAAATGATGACGAGTTTTTGCGTTCATCAGGTGAAATTAAAATCTTAATAATAGCGTGGGCTTTAATGACACTTTGTGTAATCAAGCCTATGTACCTAGATCTAGAACGTGCAGAACTAATTTTGTGTTTATTCCATTTAACAAAACTTAACATTTAACATTTGGAACGTTTTACATATATATTTCTCTCGGATATGTAAAAGCCGCTATATTTTCACCTGGGAGCTTTTCGTTCCATGAGTCGTTTTCGAAGATTTAAGAATACTAGACGTTCTGTTATGTTTTGTGGTGATACACTGTTCTACGGTGAATAATCATATATATGATCTTTATATTATTGTGGGACATTTAGTAAATATCAGTGTGTGTGGCGAGATGTCGAATATTCTTACTACCTTTGTGGGCCTTCGTTATCGGCCGCGCACGTATAATAATTACGTTCAGTGGTAACTCTTTAAATTAATTAGTTTAGTTTAGTCTTTAGGAGAATGGCGTAATGAATTGAATAGAATCATGAGCGTTGCACCAAGCTTAAACATTCAGTTATGTAGGTTTAATACAAATACAAATATGTTTGAATTTCCAACATAAAGAGTTATAGCAAAAGACCCCGACATAAGCGCTATTAATACATATTTTTATTTATCCTTCTCTTTGTGTCTGTGTGTACAGTTGCATAGCCTCAACTCAATACTTCGGGACATTTCATATTTACTTTTTTTGCATTCTAGTAAAGGACGTCTACAATTCTGCTTTCTCATCGGAAGCCACATCGGGACATTCTCCAAACAGGCTTTTATAATGAGTAACATACTGCTGGCACATTTCACCTTTGGGAAACATCACATTACCGCGAAGATTGATATTGCGTTGAACAAAGAAACGGTACACTGAATAAAATGTGGCAGGGTCTCCTGTTTGCTTGGCGGCCTCAAGAAACTTCCTAGCCGACACTGTGTCCTGATTACCCTGGAACTGAACTACTTTAAGCGCCGATATAACTTTGCCTTTACTAAGCAATGTTTCGATGGTTTCTTCTTGCGAACCTCCCACTCGATAAAGCATATCAAGAGCTAACTGCTGCGCTGGAGCGTATTCTGGCGCCAAATCAAGCAGTTGGGCAGCTAAGGGCTTTGAATCCCCGAGAATATGATATTGCAAAAATTGATGAAGCTGGTAAAACTTGTTTCTTTTAACTAGGCTGGAAACCATGAGATCTCGAAGCAGATCCCCGATGGTCTCTCTAGTTCGAAGGTGTTCCACGAGTACCGAGAAGAGATATGATTGATCGAGCTTCTCAACCAATGGCGTAAAAACGTGACAAACAAGATCTTCCGAGATGTTATCTAAGTTAGCTATTTCGCTCATAATCAAACTGATTTTCGACAGCGGAGGTGTACTGAGAATAATTCGTTTGATCGACCTTAAAATAACTCCTCGGTTATCTTTGCGTTGGAGGAGAAACTCGATAAGCCGGTCAGGATTTTCAAAATCTTGGCTTAGTCTGTCAAGGTCGATATGAAGTCTCCAAAGCAACCCCATTTTAGCGTCAATAATAATATTAGGCTGAAACACTACCCAGTTCGCTGAGTACAGTTCATGGTCGCCTTTACAACTTATCTCAGAAGGCGGCACTATCGGTGAGTGATACTGAATATTTGTCTCGAGCGATCCCTCAAGAAAGATATCGAAAATTTGACTTGTCTTCGAACTTTGATGATGCACAATAATTAGGTTATCGATCAAATTTATTGCAAAACGACCAGAAACGTCCAGTTTAAGAATATTTGTTTTTCTAGGCGGCATGCCTCCGTCAATTGTGTACACAACTATTTCCGCTGCACCACTTTGCCCACTTGCTGGGGTGCCTCGATGTCTAAGTACAACAACGCGAGACTTGCCGTATATTTTGCATAAACTGACATCTCGATCAAGAAGACAAAGCTTCGGTGGCTTTGGGACAACGGGTAAATCCACTTCAAATTTTGAATGGCGCGTACACATTCCGGGGCCTGAGAAGAATATTGGATGTAAAACATTTCCTAAAATGCCTGAAGAAACAAGAAGATAGCAAGTGCGAGGCTGGTAAATGAACCAGTTTACTTGCATAGTGTAGAGTTTTATGTAACGAAGGCATTTGCGCTGAGGCTGCACTTCGTACAATTCAACGCTCTGATCTGTAACAAATATAATGTCATTTCCAAACCCTGTCCACGCAAATCCGATCACTGAAGCGGTCTTGGCTTTACACGCTTGGCTATACTCCACAGGGCGGTCGTTGCCCCCGCCAGCTGTCATACCTTCCGCTGCCAATAGGTCCTGCGGCCTGTTCATAAATTCGACGCTTTTTCTAGAACGTTGAATGGCCATAACGGCCTGATCGGGCGAAAGTTTCACAGAAAGAATTTCACCCTTGTCGTCCATTGTAAACGAACAACTGCGTTCCTCGGTGGGCCCCTTAACCACCACCCCAGTAACTCCTCCCGACCGAATCGAAAATAACTGTTCGTTAGCATTGTCAAAAAAAACTCGGCTAACGGAGGACGCAGGATCGAATTGCACTGCTTCATCGCTCAATCGCAAACAAGCCCCAGATCTGCTAGGATTAGAGGCGATAGTAAGTTGGGCCGAGCTGTCACCTGCTGCGCTGGGCGACGCCATCTTCTTTGTTATGACACAATAAACGAATATTTGTTGACGCTAAGCGATGCCGGTCTCGCGAACCGGGCCGTCGGCGACCAATCAGTGTATGAAGAAGAGCGCTTCCCAACAATATGTTTAATCTGTTCAAACGATCTGATTAATTCATTGTTATAGAACGTACATCGCGCAACATCGTTTTACTCGTGTGCAATACTTCTAGAAATATTTACCTTATGTCTGTGAAACATACGTCTAAAAAGGGATTCCGGCTTGCGAAGAATAATTCTGTTTTAGAAGAAAATAACCTAGGGCGTAAAATAGAGACAAAGGCATCGAAATGTTAGCATATGTCATTCAAAATATTAAATACAAATTATTCTGAACGATTAATATAAAGTATGAATGTATACAATTTTCTCAATACACTTTATATTGAATATACATATACGCCAACAACTTCATAGGGCACGCGAGTAGCTTCATAAATATCCCCAGTATTTTTGTAAAATCTGCCTTGTTTCAATGTTGTGTGTTACACTCACCCACTTCGACATTGACGCATCCGTCAACACTTATGACAATATTTCAGTAAATATAACCCCGGTGCAAGTTTACGCCTCTTGTCCCTTCATTTCTTTTACCACAGTAGTGTATGACAATAAATACCTAAAAAAAGGGAAAACATAAAAAGTTCTTCATCTTAAAGGCGGCTAATTTAAATCAAGATAAATTCGCCGCTTTGCAGATTTACCCGGCAAATTCATTCATTCCTTAACGTCCAATCAACTGTGACTCAACACCGACTGAAGGCTCATCATAATTGAGGTTGTTTGCGGCAATACGTACCTGAAGTTCGCAGCGTAAGTTTGTCGTGTGAGCAAAAAGTAAAAGAGATAACATAAAAACAATTGAGGGAACGGGAAAAATGTTTAACAAAAAAGAAGCTACCGCTGGGACTACCAGCAAGTGTCAGATAAGAAAAGAGGATGAAGTTAAAAATGTGACGAACTCAACTCGAAAGAGTAAGAAGTTTGTCAACCTGTTCTCAGATGAGGGCAAACAACGACAAACGATCTTACTCAGTGGAAGACATCCATGTCATTGTCTGGCCTCGAGGTAAGTTGGTGTGAAGTTAGCTGAATGCCAGTACTCATACTCTAGGAAAAACGGTTTACTTAGGTTAGGATTAGCAAGGGAACTGAACTAATCGTGCATCTGTTGCTTGCTTGTATAGCTTAATATTAACGCAATCGTAATAGTTTCATAATCTAAGGGTACTATTCAAAATGTAATAGTATTGTGATACATATATATGCGAATTCGAAATTTTGCTATATTTACATATACTAGTCTCAAAAAGGTAAAGATATTGATTAAAAATGTGGAATACTCAGTATAATAAAGAATAAACGCTAAGCCAGTTTTGTACTACCGCAAGCTTCTGTTGTTTTCAAATATAGTTCTGAAGATACGCATAATAAGCTTCATCGAGAACTAGTGCTGAGTGAGCGCGGATGAACGGGCCAACAACTAATTTCAGATACAACATCCTATCTAACTCTAGCTAGACACATTGATATGGTCACCTCCTTTCTTCTATATAAACTAAATTTGCCAACGTTTTTGGACACGTATATAGGTAACCAATAATGATTTTTCCATATCGGGACGACAAATAAGCCTCTGCGTAACATTTTCGAGGCCGTTCGAATGTCTAGCTTTCCGCATTTATAGTCATTGCCCAATTAAGCAGGGCAATATAGTCTCACACGTTATTGTGTTTGATCAATGGTACTTCTCTATTCAAACGAAGGTTTTCCTGCTTGAAAGCTGCCTCGACCGCTTTCTAATTATTGAGTGTATGACGACATTGTCTCCAGAGAATCATTTTCAACCCGCTGTCTGCTACAATGGCAATTTACCACGACATGTATAAACTTCCAAGCTATTAAGCACAATTCAGGTAGCGATTATTTTATCTTTTACTTACGGAGGGTCAAAGATGGTTCGAGAGGTAGTACAGTGATTATCGCTCCTTTCATCTATCCAATGACAACAACATTATTGTGACCTCAGATTCTGAAGTGAATTTGAGTGATCTGAATGTTTTTGTGACCAGATGCAAGCCCGTCATGAAATTACGAAAATACGTTGTGGAAAAGCAACGGACGTTAGCAATAAGACTCATAAAAGGAAGGCAATCGCGGAATGAAACTGCTGAGTGGGTTGGAAGATCGAAGTGTGCAGTTGACTATTTAACCTAGAAGGTGAAGGATAAAGTGTCTTACTCATAAAGAAAAATAGGAAACAAAAATCGAAAACAGTGCATAGCGCACTGAGGAGACAGGGCTATTTAAACTTTGCTTCAAAGAGATTTCTTTGTAACGGTAGCTCAACTGCGTCAGGTGAAATGCGAAGTCATGTTGTTTATAGGGACCACCCGAACATCGTATTAGACTGAGCGGTTTTAGTTGTCATAAACTAGGCGAAATGTGCGCAGAAACGTGCACGTTTCTAACGGACCAATTATTTTCGAAATTGAGGAGTTAAAGGAAGGGGAAGAAATTGTTTTTCAGGTGAATCGCAGTCTGAAATTTTGGGTAATAACGGTCAATGCAAACGGCAAAAGATTCTACAGGTCACGTGTAGACCAGCAGGTCAAACAACCGAACAAAATAATAGTGTAGGCCTTGATTTTAACCCATGGTGTAGGAGCCCTGCATTTCGTCAACGGAACTGATGAAAAACAACATTTCAGCAAGGTAATTAAGCAGAAACGTTACCCCAAGTATGAAAATGATTCTTGGATGGGAATTATGTGCATGAGAAATGACTGTCACATGGCGAACTATTTTTGAAGATAAACATCTCTAATGACATTAAGTTTCTGTTATGGCCTGGAAATTCCAGATCCGATCGAAAGCGTGTAGTATTATATTATGGCGAATCAGGGCAAAATCCTAGCTCGTGATTACAGTGGGTTCCATATAAGCGTGATAGAAATAATGCGAAGTCTATTTGAAATATACCAAAGCAGACAGCAGTAGTGAACCAAATGCTAGCCTCAATAAGTGGAATAATACTTGCTCATTCACACCAGCTTTAAACGTTTCTCTAGAAAGTATTGTTACATGTATCATCATTAAAAAACAGAGGGAGACAGCTGTCATATAGAGCAATCGCATGCAGACATGCGGGACTATCTTCGATCAAGCTCGACACTGTGAAATTTCTAGGTGGCCTTATTTTATTGGCTAATTATATATAAGTATAGTTACTGTATATATAAGTATAGGTACTAAGTATAGTTAATGTGTATTATGATGCATATATAGCGTATGCTCAACGATCTTTTAAAATATTATTTGTGGTCTTTCGTTGCACATTTGACAGGCACCAGTTGGTGAACAACTGTGTTTGCTGTGGGCGTATCGTCTGCAGTCAGGAAGGGTCCGGATCATGTTTTACCTGCGGCGCATTGGTCGTTACACCTCGCGAAACGGAACTTCTTTCAAAAAATTCTCGGAGAGCGACCCAACTCCGACAAAAATTAGAAGAACAAGATGCTCTTGCAGCTGCCGTTGCCCACAAAAATCGGTAAGTTTCTTTTTTCATTTATAGCGACCTTTCGACTTAGTCTCTTAAACAAATGTCAACTGAGTGGTATTTTTGACAATCAATAATGAACATCCTAAGCAGTTAAATGCCTCGTCATATCAATGTCAAAGGTAATGCTACGGAGTAAACCATGAAGAATTTGTGGCAGAGATGACGAACTTCATAACAATTCCGGTTGCCTTTTCTTGAGGCGAATCTACTAGATGTGTCCGAAGCTTGTACGTGGACACGCGGTAAGTGGAGCATTGATGAGTGCGTGACATCCTTCGTTGCTTACGTAATTAAATAACTGGAAGAGTTCGGAGTTTCGTAAACATTTATCTCTAATGTTCTCGTATTACTAGTCAAGGCATAGTTTATGTTAAAACAAAGCATAACGATTTAGATGGTAGAGCATCAGTAGGTGATTGATAAATGTATAGTAATACTCATAATAGTAATAACCCAAATGACTTACGCATCTGTTCCAAAATCTGACTAAATACATGTAATACTATGATCGTGCAGTAAAAGCAGTATCATAGTACTTTCTTGTCTACCTTTCCAGATCGACACTAGTCTCTCCATGAGCATTTGAATAACAAGCACCGATTTTGAACGGAGGTGCTTCTTAATTATCATTATTTTTACACGAAGTTTATTTTAACACCTTTACGGTGCAGTGACTTTTTTAATGTCTCCAACTTTAGTCTCATTTCTCACGCAATTCTTGTTTCGTTTTTCGAGCTTTGTAGCTACAGTCTCAGGGCTTTCGTAGTCGCAGTTGTACACTCGGTACCCTTTTCCTATTGGCGTTTAACACTTTCAATAGCCATTGAGTTTCTGCGGGATAAGGATAACAATAAACTTTCCATTTTAAAACTTGAGTTCGATTAAGCTCAACAGGCTAGATTTTGCTAGACGACACTTTCTTATAAGATTAAAAAAAGTGAGAGCCCGGCTCGCCTGATGACGACGTTGAGAATACTGTATGGTTCCATATAAACCTATCTTTCCACGGAGTAAGGGTTGAACATGAACCGTTAATTGGCTAGTAATGGTAGGTCGTCAAGTGGTACTTCGCTAGTAATTGATTTCAAATTTTGCGTTTTACATGTAAAAGACATATTGTGAGTTCGTTGGCAAAATATTTCTATCTTATTTAAGCATTTTCACAAATGAATTCATAACCACAGATTATGGTGGAGACTGTATACGCGAAGAAAAATTATATGCAATAATTCCAAACAAAGTAATAACATGATATTTATCAGTTTTTTTTTTACAGTTTTACGGATTGTTAAATATATCTGTTTGCTGTTTTGAAGAAAAGCAGTTATTGCAGGACGTACCAACTAAAAATACCGGTTTAAAATAACAATAAAAAAGAATACCATAAAGTAACCGGAGAGTAACAGTAATGAGAATATAAGAATAACATTATCAGAACTGACATACAAAGAGGTGACTATATTTCTAATTATATGTAGTATTTTATATATTGTTTATTTTGTGAATTAACATTATTGATTACATTACTTCCTACAACATTTCCACGTCATTACTGTAATTCATATATTAAACTTTGTACAACTTTGTCATATATTGCTTTTTATATTTTAGAAACAATTCCCTCCCAAGGTGTTTGTATGGAAGTTGGCCCTGATAATCTAGTTTTCACTATGAGGCAGGAGAAAAACATTCTCTATAGAATAGTAGCGCGAATCTTACCGTAGCATACGAATTGACAATTCATCCTGAACAGGTGCATGATTACTGGGTCCCTCGTTATGTTGGTCTTCTTCGGTGAACAGGATCTGAAAAGTTCAAACTGGTACAAGTTGACGATGGTTGAAGTTAATAAGTAAATTGTCGTAAAGGGCATTGCAAATGGTACAATCGTAAACGTCTTTTTTCTATTCATCTTTCAAGGATTCGTATTTAGGACGCGCGTGCAAAATTTGAGGAGGGATCTCCAAAACGCCTTTATTAACGAAGTGAGCTAAATTATACATACACGTTTGTCTTTGAGCCACCCGAATCGCTAGAGCTTCGAATACGACCTTAGCGAAGGGCGACGCACAAGCACTTTTGAAATAGAGATACTCACAGTCGATTTCCGGGAAGGCATACATCCATGTAAACCTCTGGAAGAGTTCTGCAGCGACTCGAAAAATTCATTAAAGCTTTGAAAAACACTTTGGCGGAAGCCAGGAAAATTAAATTTTTTTTATTCGTGAGTTCCTGTTCATCATTCACTGCAACGGAGCGAAAACGGATAATATGTTGTTAACAACAGCTTACAGTAGTCGCTATCAAAAATTACTGACATGTCTTTTGAAGACCTCCTCAAGCTTGCATTTCGTTAGTTATAATTGTTCCCAAGTTTCGATAATTTACTTAAGACCAGTGTGTCTAATCCTTCCATTGTATTCTTTCCCTGTTTCAGCAGTTTCTGTCGTTTTCATCGCCCTATAGATGCTACCTATGCAGACCTAAAGATGGTAAACACTAGAGCCTGCGACTATTACATTATTGCCAACATCTTTGAATTTCACTGATTGATCGACAACAATACAAGAACATGTAGGTGTTCCTATAGGAGTCGTATATCATGGGGTTAGTTTATAGATCGAGCGTTATTAATGAAATAGAGTATATTTCATTAATTTCAGAATGTATCCATTACATCCTCAATAGACGCTGGTATGGTTGAGGTGTGCAAAATCCAATATTAGCGAAGCACCGGTCGACGATCCACTATTATATGCCAAGTAATGGTAAACGTTCAGTCGTTACTTAGTTGGCTAGTTGGCTGATCGCAAATGGCTATGCCCTTCAAATTATTTGGCTTTCGAAATAACATAGAAGTGGTGTTCTACGAAGTTTCTATTCTGCAATTAAGTATTTTTAAGTGAGAAAGGTTTTTTGTATTTAACCCTTAAAAGACATGGTTGAACAGTCTTATTTTGGACCTAAAGCACTCACAATTCGTTTTTAAAACACTCATTCTTAAATGCGTAAGTAACTTGACAGTAGTAATTGTATAGCAAGCAATATTGGTACACGTACCGACACTCGTAAGAATTTTTTAAACACGCCACATATAATTTCGGCAGAATAAAATTTGGGGTGATAGTAGGGTAAGGGTTTTCCAGATACAAGAGGTTACAATAGCTATTATGTACAAAAAATGCAAAAAGGCGCAGAAAGCTTTAAAGAAAACTAATCGTGGAAGCTGTCTTTGCAACTCAATTGGCAACTGATTTTCTGATGAAAAACAGCTAATTTCTGCTTAAAAAATCCAGGCGTATTAAAGAAAAACTTTTCAGGCCGTTTCAATAAATTTGCGAGCCCTATAAAGATTATTTAGGATCTTCCTGTTTGTCCGATGAGAAGTAGTTATAATATAGACCGTTGGTCTGGGGCAAAAAAACATAATCACTGATAAGTCTAAAATCTCGATGGGAATTCGCCCTACGTAAATATACTGGACAATAGCTGGTTTTCGTTCAATTTGCTGCTTCGTTCTAGAAACAAGAAATTCGTGAACCAAAAGAAATGATTATGTGCGTGCGAAAAGAGTCTTAATAAAGTATACCCGGTATACTTGTATAGCATTGCCATTGGGACTTTTCAATTCTATTGGAAGCCTATCTAAGCGAACGTATCTAGATGAATTTTTTGCTTTACATTTGGTACATATAAAAATTCTAAAATAAGTTTCAAGTGAGAAACGTAACAACATAATTTGTTTTCCATAAAATCCAGTACCTTGGCAGATTTTGAAGTTCAAGTTGTATAGTGAAGTTACCTGAATATATTTCTCAAACAAGCGCCACCAAAAACACCATATGATACACCCGATACCGATAAAAACAGTGTTAATGTCGCGTGATATTTGTGTTCGAAGATGTTGGCTATCTTTGAGGTTACCTTTGCGGGTGGATGTACTCAATAAATTCTGGTTAGGAGGCCGGCTGATTCAGTAAATTGAACGCTTATCTAGCAAAAAAGTCAAAAATAATTCGATTAGCCAAAGGCTTGTCATTGATTGTCGACTGATATTGCACCAAATTTGGTTTTTTACAAGAATAAGTAAAGTTTTCGAATGTTTGTTAGTAAGAACCCCTTACCCTGAGATGCTCATCGATTTAAATAATCGATATTTGTTAACCCATATTACTCCTTTTTCATGTATCAAACATGCAATGATAGTTAGCGGATACTATTTCAGGCGGTTATGGTATCTGCAGGTACTATAGATAAAATTTTAGGGAGATACATCGATTGTTCCAAGAAAATTTCATCTACTGCCCTTTACAGCGGAAACTTGTTTCAGCATTACGTTGATCCCATTAGGACGCGAGTGGCACCAAATGAAACAGCGGACTTTTACCGTTGCGCATTCGATTATAATCGACAGTTACATTTCACTTAAACTTAGGAAGTTAACAAGATCAACAATCCGTGTTATTACATAACTACTCTGCAAACGAACTTTAAACAGACAAATAAGGTTTCAGAAACAAATCTGAACCACGCTCTAGGATTTGCCTCGATTTATTAGATGGAGCCTATCTTCACCCTGAAGATACATTTTTTTCATTGGACGTTATTTACGTCATTTAAATTCTACTCTGAATTTTTGGGTTCTCAGAGATCCATTCGCCACCTTTCACCATTTGTTTAATCTAAAAGAGTTCTATGAAAAATAGGCCTTACTTGTATAGAAAACTATGACCTTTTATTCTTGGACTTCACCTTGTATAATTTGGTTAGATATCTCGCGCGAAAGTTGAAGTAGTACAGAAGAGCCCATGGCTTTGACAGTATGTAGAACTTCAAATTCTAATTAACTATAACCTGAGTCCAATGCTTACGGTCTTAACGACTATTTGTCCCCCGTATAATATTTATAAAAAAAATATTAAATATTAGTGATCTCTATAAATCACACGTAATAATTTTATAAATCATAAGTAATAATTTTCTGCGTGTTCTAAGTTGCTAGATTACTTTAGGCTTTACTTGTTTCGTTTCCGGCAGTTCGCCTTGACGCATTTCGGATACCCGTTCTTATTATCAAGTGAGTACCCGTAATTCCGTGCCGCAACAACGTCACGATGAAGAAGAACCATTTACCTCTTCACTGCGTGGGTCCCCCAACAGCGCGAAATTTTGCTGTAACGGGATTTTGCAATGTATGAGCTTTTGATTGTCAGTTCACTGCAGGTCATTTTAAAGAGTTCTAAAGTACGATGTATGTAGTGCAGGTATATAAGTTGAGCCTTACTGGAGAAGTTTATCACCAGAGTCATTTTCAGTTGTGTAATCTAGAAAAGCTGCTTACTGAATCAAAGGATCTACATCTGAAAAACTGATGCTAATTGAATTGCGCGGCAATTCTGATTCTCGAAGTGAAGTCCAAGGAACTTCACAATTTCTTTCAGTGCGCATGTAACTTAAGCACGTGTTGAATCTAATGTACCCGTTTTTGGTAGAAATCTAACTAATAGTAGCAAGATGCTCATTGGCTCAGTCACACGAAAAGGTAAGATTCAGGATAGTGTATGTCAATTCCGATAAGAAAATAACTGGCACACCGAAGCTCATCGGAACTCAAGAAAACTTCGATGTCACACACGAAGGCTGCATTATCTTTAAAGGATCTGTAGAAGATCGTGAAGTACATGATTATAAATACGCACAGTATGTTGCTATCTGCCTGGCAGATCTTACCGGAGTATCAGATATCAATACCTATCGATGGATCCATATGCCCTGCAAGTTGTGTCAGGCATACATACCTGATATCTAATCAAATACGAATAATATCAACAAATAATTAATGCTAAATCGCCCTGGGTTAGGGAGCTACGGCGTGGACTACTGCCTATTCAAGTGAACTAGCCGTTTGTTGTTGACAAAACAGTACAGCTAGCGTTGTATATATTACAGTGTATTAAAATTCTCACAAAGTAAATACTAGAAGCCTGAGCCGCAAAAATAGGGGATGTATATTTTAGAAATTACGTTGCATATGGTATAAAAAAATAAATAGTTATGAAATACTGAGTTCTTTTTTGTGCAGTTAAATACAATTACAACAAGCCCAGAGGAAGGCCTGTCGTGTGAAAGACACAAGAAGCCGATTTGAAGTTTACTTAATCCATACTATTAAATACCAGATCCTTTTTCCGTTTCTAGAATTTTTTTCTAGGATGTCCGTTTGCAGAAATATTGATCAAAAACTGGATATCGAATATAATGTAATATGCAGCCACATGATTTAATTTGTCGAGAGATATTATCATAGGCCTCTTCGTATGATTGACACGATAGATTGACACAAATGCCAAATTGCATTCGTTAAAGGCTACTAAAAACGTGATCAGCACTGAGACCTTTCTTTTTAATAGAATAATGTGAACAAACTACGAACACGACCGAAGTCGGTGTTTTTACATAGAACCAATCAAATAAGCGAATATCGGACCTTATCTTTTTTACGATATATATATATATATATTATAAGAAAGCAAATCCTAGACGGATTTTTCACCTGTATTTACACTTACGTCTAGTCGTCGACCGAATGACTAACTTCGGCTGTCTTTCCTAGCTAATACTTTACCAGTAGTGAGCTATCTAAACAAGTGCTTTGTGTAACGTTGTTTTTCTCTCTTAGCATTAACAGATAATGAAGACCTGAGAAACTCCTTCTTGCAAGATTTCCAAAAAGGGCTTATAATGTATCTGTGATAAATTCTCTCAAGAAGGGTTAACATGCTCAATACACAAATTTAACGTGCTTTCAAAGACCATTTATTTGGGAATAATGGTTTATTTTTAGAAGTAAAATATGATTTGCTTCAATCTTTAACTTATTGTCAATCTCATTAATATTTTTCTATTTGAAAGGCTTTTGGATTACGACCGTACCTGCGCGAAACGCACTGTGGTGATTGATGACGACCGGGACTATTTCTCGTCAGACAATAAATGGCTTACGCAGAAGGAAATAAAAACTCTAAAAGAGGTAGAAGATAAACGTGACAAAGCCAAAAGTTTGCGGGGAGCGCAGACCCGTATGGATATTGACTTTGCTGGAAAAAAGGTGTATATGCATTTTTGATAATAGCGTCTTGCCATATTTATAGGTAGATTTGTTTGTTTTAGCACATAAGAAATCACCAGTTTACGGGGGCGTTTATTAAAGCAGGAAAAAGGCGAAAGTGGCTTTCTGCGCGTCCCACATTGTGGAATCCGCTTATGTTAAAACCTATTTAATAAGACGATGATGGACCCGTGAGCGTCACCTGAATTTCTTTCGAAATGGTTTTACAGAACCACTAATAATAAAAATTGAGTTTGTAAAAAACCGATAATTGATAACCTAGAGGTCAGCGTTTTTATTGCGCAAAGTTCCTATACTTATGTTTGAGAGATTCGTCTTCCCTTAATGATTCTAAGAATGAGATAATAATATTACGCGTTTGAATAAACGTTTTTCATTCATTTAATTATTTGCTTTCATATATTTCAAAGGGTACCTTCAAAAATTGTGATTTAAATAACAAAGTACAGGAAGTACAGGAAACAGAAATTAAATGAGCTGACCGTTGTAGGTGGTAGTCAAGAATGAGGAAGCTTCCGAACTCTATCTTCATGATACGACGGAGGTCATCAATGAAGCAGTTGACAACTTGCCTTCGTACATTAGCAGTCAGGAACTTATCGATCTCGAATTCATTCCGACTGGCGATGTTCTCAGTGCATTCACCGCCAGGATGACTGAGAGCATGCAGACTGTGAGGCTTCAAGATAGTCACCTTATGGAGATATCCGACGAGGGTTAGTATTTTAAATCGAAACTAAATTTTTTCAGATTTCGTAAGCGTCTAGTCAAAGGTATAGCAGGAGTTTATGAGATATATAAAATAATACCGTAAAAATGTAAAATTCTTAAATAGTTGCTGATACACTTGTACGTGTGCGTCTTTGTATAAGTATGTATCATATATATATTTTTTGCCTTAATATCGACTCACGTTTTAAATTTTGGTTGACAATAGGAATGTGTTTATCAATCAATCAACCATACGCAAGCCTCCTGTTGGCGGGCATTAAGCGCCATGAAGGAAGGCAATGGTACCATGCACACCGAGGAAGGCTGTGGATTCACGCAACCGCTAAATATGTCGAATTTGCTGAAATTGAAAAGGTAACTCAGATGTTTGCGCATTGTATTCATTATTATTTTAAAAAGTCGTAAATAATTTGGAGTCACAGAGTACTGCCATCTAACTTTCATTTATTGTCACAAAACGTCATTTATTTTGAAACACACTTGTATTTTGTATCCTGTTGTGTTGGGTGAGGTAAATAGAGGCAATCAATAGCCAGTGATTGGCACGTTTATTATTCAGACTGTGACACCTGTTTTTTGTTTCTCTGAAAATACGAGGTGCTTTGTCAAACATAGTTTGTTTGATTTCGATTTTCAGGTTCTCAGTACGTATTACCAATTGGTCAGTCCCGAGGTGGCTGCGCAGACGCCGAAACAGTTTCCAAACGGAGTGCTTCTAGGCTGCGTTGACGTTATCGACTGTCTTCCGCAATGGAAGTACAGAAAGAATTTTCCTGAAGGTGAAATTTCTGACGCTTTTGTCTTTATATGTGAGAACCCACAGCCTTTAAAAACACCATTTCCGATGCGTGGAAAGCCCAAGATATATAAACTTGAGCCCAGGTTGCATCATGCCGCAAGGAAACAGGTGATGTGTATTCCCGGTAATACACCATAACTAGAGAGCAAACAATTACATTTAAAAGCCTCGTCAAACGAACCTGAAATAATGCTGCTTAAAGCTCACTAGTTTACTGGGGATGTGTAAGATCACAATGACCAACAGCGTAAACCAAAGGCGTTTCTTTAGAAAATAAATTTGATATACTATATATGCCAACTAAGAATGCATGTATTGCTTACTTATTAATATATATTAACAAAAGTGATTAATACAGGCAGGTGCAACTATCGTGCTTGAGCCTATTATACGATAGTGCATTCGAGGCGTTCACGCGCTTTGTTTTTTCAGTGATTTCTTATTCTCTACGAAGGTGGTAACAAAGTATAAATGGTATCGATCATTCCGATAAGAGGTATAAGCAAAAGATTGTGGGTTATCTGCTGTATGTTGATTAGGTTAATATTTGGGAGATTTATGAAGGAAATTTTAGTCAAGAAATAGTTGATAGTTTGGATTGAGCTTTTGTGTTAGGAATCTAAAATCAGAAATATGCAATTTATTATAATGTCAAAGGTCTAAGAAGATTTTAAGCCGAAAAAAACCTAAAAGATGCTAAGGAAAACGTGATCTTAACTAGCTACAGCTTGACTTCATAGCTTTAGGAACGTTACAGCTGAGTTTAGAGCACTATATATTATAACTTGAGCTTACGAATGTGGAAGATATAGAAGAAGTGATGGATGATTAACAAATGATGTTTTAAGTGCTCCAGACATTGCTTAAATATCATCGTCTTGCGTAATTTGGCTTCAAGTTAGAGCCAAGCCTTTACCAAGAGCCCAGTGACTATCATCCGAATCATTTTCCAGTAGGAGACAAGGGGAAAATCTACAGTGCTTTGTTAGGAGAAAGAAAACGATATAGCGGGAGACAATTCATTTTAATCTAGATGAAATAATTCTATTAACAAAAAAAGTTAAGGCATCTGTGAGTAGAGTCCGAGTCCAGCAAGGCTATCGCGTCATTGTATTCTACCAGGTACTAAGCTGTTTTAGAAAAGACTGTTATTGCTTCTGGGGCGCTTGGCGACAATTTACAGGAATAGGGAACTTCCACTAGTGCTGTGAAAAAGCGGTTGTGCTTTTAAAATGTGGAATAAATATATCATTTATTCGTTATAACAAACATGTGTTATCGGCTAACAATCTAATGGTAACGTTAGGGGCGTCGTTGCCGGCTTGAAAATAGGATTAACATATAAAAAGTCGGAAATAATTCCCTAATCTATACCCTTTGAGAAAAGGGCAAAGGCGGTTTTACCTTTTTGAAGTGAATTTGATAGAATCCGGTCGATAATTAGCAAAAAAATACTAACAACATGTGTTAGTAGTGCCCGCGTATGAAAAAATATTGAGAACGATATAATAATAAAGACAATCAAAGCCCTTGGCCATATAAACCACTAAGCATTGCGGCGTTAATTATATAAGACCTTATATGGACCCGTAAAACGTCTGGCGACCGGTCAAAAAATTCCAGATTTAGAACTAGTATATATACTTTATTTTTTAAAAGGTAGGTTCTTCGCACAGAATCATTGCTGTCCCATATAGCTTTACCACTGTCTCACATGACCCTATTTTGTGGGCTAGATATTTTTCTTTTTCTTTTCTCCAAACTTAATGCGGAAATGTGAGTCCCATTGGAAAGACACCTTCTCTCCCTGCGAAAAGTTGTTCCCAGTGATTGTGTAAAGTAAATTTTGTCTAAGTTGCTCCACTGTGTTTCTTAAATTTGTTAAACTGCAATAGATATGAGACTAATGTAAAATCTAAGGTTCAACATCATTCAGTCAAGAGTTGTTTGCAACTGTTTATATTAATCACAGATAACTGAAGAAGCTTCCGTCTAATATACAATTGAAAATATAGCCTCTATATCAGATTCTACGAGGCCCGCTTCTCGGTTGAAAGCAACAACCAATAAGAACTGTCCATCTAGCCACTATATATATTCGTATGTGGCCGAAACTTAAGATACGTATTCGGAACCTTTCACACAAGCGTATGGTAGTATCAACGCTTTACGTTGTACGTACCACGATTAGCGCATCAAACGTCGAACGATAGGAAAAAGACGGTAAACATGGTATTTCGTTTTACCAAAATATTACTTCTTGTCTGCTTCCCAAAAAGAAACTGGAATTTACCTGTGTATTTTATCGAGAAAAGCAGAAGTCACTTATTCACATCATATGCTTTATTAAGAAATTATAATATATATAATATTGTATATATTTTTTCACTCTTGACCCTAAGGCCTGAACTTACCGTTGTTGCACACATTACAGACGTATATATATATACATATATATATATATATATATATATATATATATATATATATATATATATATATAGTCATCTAGCCAATTTACAGATTTTTTATTATAGGATAAAAAGGTTTCCTATTTCGTGTACAGTTCGTAGATGTTCCATCATCGGTTGTTTTGAAGTGGAAGCGGATTGGTGCCGTTACAAACCTCTAAGTAAGAAAATAACCAAGTTGTTAATTGTGATTTCGTATATATTTATATTTCTTAAGCTTTTGTAATATATATTAACGTACTTCATTAGAATACATCAGGTTATATCAATGTCGCCTATTTAATTGTGGAAGACTGTAGAAATAAGCAAATTTATTTGCGTTTTCTGACAACGATCGGATTCACTAAATAACGTTTTAAAATTCTGAATATTGATGTCACCTATGCGGCTACATCTCAGTCATTGCGAATACTATATGATATATCATTTCCTTGAACTAGCGATATCCGATTATTACGGAACTGCTATCATCATGACCATGGTCGACTTAGGGTTTATTTTCGTGTTTTCTTTTGTTTATGAAAATATGATTTTCAATCCATTTTATTTTTCTTAATACCTCAGTTCACATGTTCATAATGTAAATGTCATATACTGTAAAAAAAATTGTATAAGATCTTCTGAAGCTTTTGAATACGATTTCACAATGAATTGCACAATCGGATCCTACTTATAAGCCTTCTTTACGTGTAGAGAAAATCGGTCGCCATATTGGTGTGTGCACTTAGTCACACTGTTTTCGTCTCCTTCTCCCTCTGTACAATATGTCATATTGAACAAAAGGAGCCAGTCTGCTATTATCGAATTAAAAAGTTCTTTACCATCTAAGGTTCTTCTTTAATCAGTCAATGAATCCTGTCAATCAGGCAACTTAATCCAACCCGTTGTCGAGCATACAAAAAATCGCCAGTCAACTTAAGTCGCCAGAATTTACATTAAAGTTAACAGAATTAAAATTTATGGAAAATTAAGTAACTGTCATTTTGTAGTTTATTATTATAAACAACAAAATGACACTTATTTAATTTTAAAAATGACATTGCAGTTCTTAATATTGCCATCGGCACGATGTGCAATCATGCAACATCTGTTCTAGTTAGCGTAACACGTGCCTAGACGATGATAGCACCAATTAATTACAATCGTGTCTTTCCTGGATGTATGAGAGCTAGAAAGATCAAAATACAATAATAGTGAACACAATTAAATTATCAGTGAGAACAGGAAATCATCCAGAAAATGACTAATCATACTGCGGTATTCGCAAAAAAATGCCTATCAAGTACGGATCCACAGTTCATGGTGCAGATGAAGCCAGGGACACACTAGTCACAACTAGATCGTTCATTCATTCTTGTCATCTTCTGTTGCGTAAACACTGTCTTCTGCTCGTTAGGTAAGGTATCCTTCCAAAAAAAGTACGAAAGACTAATTTCCATTTTATATAGCGTCTTTTCCTAAATAAGTAATACTGCACCTGAAAGGCAGGTGTTTTGATAGAAAGACATCCATTAGAGAGAGCTGACCGGAATGTTACTGTTCGTGTAAATCCCATATCCTCACTTCAGTTTCCTCAACTGACACATAGCGTAAACAAAATACAGGTGATGGTGAACGTAGCCTTACAACCTAGAAAATAGACCTCAGAAAGGCACTGTTAAAAGTAGTCCAGCGTATTTATAGTCTTACTGTAACGGTACATTCACATATGGTAAAAAGCCCTTCGTATACGAGACAAGCAATCTTGAGAATCGAGATACACATTTGAATACTAAAAAGTCTGCTTTGGAGGTGGAAAAGTTATTATTGAGCTTGGCCGCATGCCAATAATGGTCCATTCTTCCAAGTGCAAAAACACAGTTTATCCCGAACAAAGCCAACAACTATTTCATCTTTTTTGCGAACGTTATGCCCTATTCTTCCCATTTTGATCATTTCAAATGTAAGGCTACTTTCATTCACAAACGTAGGACCACTTTCACCAATCCCTTCGGTTAACTCTATGTGCATTGATTAGCTGAGTGTTCAGCCGTGTGCCGGTTAGCTAACCCATCCACATGCAAGATAACCAACCGAACGCTTCTAGCAAGCGCCGGGCACTAACAATGTGGCCCTCGACTGAGCGAGGTACCTTCGCTAGAAAAGTGGAATGTCCTTTCATTCAACTCAAGATTGCGTTTCATTATCCCATTAAACCAAAAACAGGACCAGCCGGCTTTTCTGGGAACTAATATACGACATTTTTTTTTCAAAGAGATGATTACAATGGTATCACCACATGTGTATGTTTCATGTTGGCGTGACACTATTTATTTCAATTTAATTATATGGGGGCCATTTATGCTCGAGGAATTCCCGCATATGCTCGTAGACAACAAGCATGACAGCTCCACCTGGACCAAGCCTTAACACCTTAGGCACGAGGCCTTTATATAATGCACGGAAGCCTTCCTCTCGATAAACAAGGCCCACACTTTGCAAACATCCCTTGTACTTGGTATCGGGAATATGACCTGTACTCTGAATGCGACTTTTGGCCACATCAAATGGAATGTTGAAGCATGACGCCAGTGTTCCGGCTGTGAAGCCTGTCAGAATACGCAGTGCAAGTGTTGCAGCTTCATTGTCTGTCTTCGGTAAAACATCCTTTACCGAAAAGTAAAAGCCGAAGTAAACCATGTTAAAGGCGCCGTTGCGCATCATGGTGGACGTCAGACCGAGATTGAGACCCCTCAAGCCCAAACCACCCTCTCGATGAATCCTCCGCGCAACTTGGTAGGTCGTCATTTGATCGGATACTTTACTCTTATCGGTTTGCAGGCGCACCTTTACCACTTCGAAGGGATTAACAAACACCGCTTCAGTAAGTCCAGCGAATAAACCAGCCATTGACAACGAAACCGGAGTGTCCTTCGTACCATACCGAAACACCTTCTTATATTGCTCGAATGTGAAGAATTTCACGGCTCTCTTCGGCGTCTCGGCCAGAATCGGCGGGAATATACCTTTAGACGGAAAAAAACGAGACAAACGTTTAAGACGAGTATTTCATTAAAGAATATGTACTGAGTGTACAGAATGCTTCATGACAATTTGAGCCGAAAAATTACATCTGATTTAAATAAACTCATTGCTAAACGAGTACATAATCATTAACTGTCAATCATGAATACATATTAATACAAATAGTACACAATATAGTTGTGCGAATAACATTAAGGTAATCCACATACTAAAAACCATGCACGTGAGTGCACATGAAAATTCGTGTTTAAGGTTCTCTGCATTCTAAAACGTAGTAACATCATTTGTCTGATGTAATGGCAAAAAAGAGTACATGTGTCTCCAAATCTGTGAGAGAAGCTCAATAGATAAACGCAGAGTTTTATTTTTCTGAAAAAATCGTGGCAAATATTGCCTGCCCAAGCACTGCCCCTACTCTGAATACGTAAAAATGTTACACAAACCGTCAGGAGAAAGAAAGTTCACGGCTAATATATGTTAACGTTGATGCCAGCTGATCTTTGTTATGTACATCATCTATGTTATGCACATCATCTATGTTATGTACATTTATGTTATGCATATCTATGTTATGCATATCTATGTTATGCATGTTATACATAGGCTAACAGTGGTCAGACAACGTTCTCATTCTGGAGCTGCCGTTCCAACTTCTACTGAAGCTTATCTGCACGTTAATACTCATAATCGTCGTATGTCAACGGAACTAAAGAAATGGTGCGATCACAGGCTTTATATGTCAGGGTATCGAACAGAAGCATATAGTTTCGTGGACTTCATTATTTAAATTTAAAGAAACTGGACAGTATCATAGTATACCACTAGACAAAATATTGGAAAAATTTGGCATTTAAGTGCTTCAAAAGACAGTAGACACTCGTTAACTAGTACGTTCCTATAAGTCACGATTTAATTTATTATTAGCTATTTCGAAATTTTTTAATAACTTCAAGTCCTTAGTATGTCACCATTATGCTCAAGAACGACGCTATACTAGAGTCTGCAAATACTTTTAATGTGGACTGGGAATATGGCGCCAGTACGGAATGTTCGTGTGATGGTCGTATTAATAGCAAAACAACACAAAATTGTATTTGCCAGTTTGCATGTGTACCCTTAAAAATACAAACAAACAGGCTAACCTTTATAGATAGAGAAAAACCCTTCGCTGCGTATCATACGACGAAAGCAATCGGCGATGCTTCGATAGCGTTCTGGATCACTTACACTGCTCTGAACCTGAAAACGCGTTTTCACTACATCGAGTGGGTGCATAAGACAGATTTCAACAAAGCCCGCTGATCCACCGGAGGCGATTTGGATAGACGCCTCACGGCCAACCTTCTTCATCTTGGAAGCTGCTCTTTCGTCTGCCATCTTGAAATTTATCCAGCGAGCAAGCTACCTGGAAAATACACCGAATAAGTATTAAAGGTTATAACGGAGTGGATAGAACTACAGCTTATGCTCCTTCTTTATTCAACGATTTATTTTGAAGTTGCCGTAATCTGGGAGGAATCATTTTATAAAGAGTGAGTCAGCGACGTATGTTCTTTTTTCCTATTAAAGCGTTGAGAACACCATGGGGATCCACTGCTGCGGTTCGGTAAATTACTTTACCAGTAAAGTTTATTTAAACAGGTGCGCCTGTTGGTGCACAATTTTGGATTAATAACTCACCAGCTTAGCTGCAGCAAATAATAGTTACCTAATAAATTTTTTATCATTTGACTAGGCACGTACCGACAAGTAGACTAAAGCTAATTAAATATTCATAACTACTTCTAATACTTTGAGACGCTTTTAATTTCTTTGGGTATCACGGTTTTCTAAACCTATTACGCTCTTTTGCGCAGTTTGCTGAATCTGAACAACATTGCTGTTGTGTGCTCGGCCTATCGATTCTAATGTAGGTATAAAAAACTTCGAGCTTTATGGGCGTCTTTTGTTCTCTGTGGTGTCCTCGTTTGCAAATGGAAGTTGTATTAGATGAGAGCGTCTATATATATATATATATATATAGCGAAACATGTCACATATTAGGTATGTAATGTGCTGAAATTACATACCATGATAGCTCTCTACAACGCTAAAAACACAATTTTTGAAGTGGTAATTAACATTTTTGCATAGATTGTTTTAAATAGTAAGTACAGAATGATATGATGAGTTGTGGCTTATAGTACCGTATCATTAGGAGCATACTCCAATATACTGTTAATTCGGCTATATGTATACGCCCCCTTTTTTGTAAATAAAAATATCTTTAAAGATCAAATAAAGATATTTTAAGACAAATTATTTACTATACAGCAGGTATTCCACGCCTTTTTATAACTCGATAAATATATGAAAAAAGCAATAATTCAGTTCTACGCCCGAAATGTTCAGCTTCACTAGTGGATAATCTATAGTAAGATTCCGACATCTTAACGGCGATGACTTAGGTACAATGCATATAGTTCAATCGGCCAGCTAACGGTGGTAAACAGACAGGACGGTTTAGCCAATGGAGAAATTCGTACTGATGTTATTCGATCTATCTCGGTATCTTCGCCTTGAAGCATAGCGCTTCTTTCACACAGCATGCTTACCTTCTATGATAATCAAACTACGAGCTGGAGGACTCTGCGATTCACTTTAGCCGACGTTACCGTTTTTGGCCAGCCGAGGACCGGCAAAATTTCGTCTATCACCTGCTCGCGCGTCACTGGATCGAACGAGCAGCGCTCTCATCTCTACGTTCTACAGTTTTGTGCTGCACAGTTTGCAGCATCTGCTGCAATCGCCCCTAAAGGCAAGGAACGACGTTGTGTACAAACTGGATACACAGCACCCACGGAAGCAGCATCAGTGGGGCCAAGAATATAAGAAGACCGTAATCACTGGTCCTTTTTCTCTTTTTTGTACAAGTTATCTTGTTCATTGTTGGAGATATCGTGGTTCGTATCGGCCGCAGCATGCTAAAGCTGTTCTTTCCTTCAAGGGTCAATGATCCATTTTACTCCCTGGCTCCGAAGAGCGCAGTAGTTTTGGCATTGCGAAGCATTTCGTGCTCCGCCACTAAACTGGTGCCAATAGTAAACAAACGTTTATTACGTTTGCAGTTATGCGCATGTAGTAATAATATGCACGCCCATAATGCAATATGGAACCAATATTAGCTTACCCATTCATGTTGATATAATAGTGAAAATTGTAATTCATGCTCTATAGGGAGCTTATAATGCTTACATGCAGTTGTTGAAAGCATATTAAAGCATCTACAAAGCATATTTAGTTACCAGACTCTTGTTAGTGATGCGTTCTCTACGGTTGTAGGTTCCAATAAAGTTGTCAACTATAAAAGGTTTAAACGGAAAGACCTGTTGAGGAAGACGACTTTTTCGATTGCCCATTTAAGATGGTCAAACTTTAACATTGCAGTATGTAGCACGAAATAGGAACGCTCAAAATGACTATATACCTAATAATTCCATGAAATCTCTAAAATGTCGCTACGATCATCTTAGTTTTATTTTCACCGCCAGCTAGACAAAATATGAATAAGGTATTTTAACAGGTGCATTTTAACTTTTCCCGAGAAACTTGCAGGTTCATTAACGTTTGCTATGTGTTGTATGTTAAATACCTTACGTTCTAAACTATTAGTAGTATTCGTAAAACTACATACTTGTAAAATGAACAAAATGAGAACTATGTGACAAAAACCAAGAACCTTTGAACAAACGTGAACAAACTGCTACGTTTACAAATCTCACTCAACTACACCACAATAAATAGTACACTAGAAATTTATTCAAATCAACCTGTTGTTGAACTCTTCCGACAACTCTTATTCGTATTTTCTGTGAACCATTGTTTTCGTTGTCGTAAGGACTTACATATTCAAATGTCCCGAAAACCCGCGCGAATATGCACCATGCAGCAACTACGTGGGCATCAACACCCTTGCAAAGTTTTGCAATTTTAAACTTTGTAGCTTATCGTCTTCCGCCAGCAAATCAATTCTTTGTTTTGTCAGAGTAATTATAGTAATTATTGTAGAATAGTTCTATTAAATATTGTGCAGAATTTTCCTGAATTAAGAAATATGTAGATACGAGCTATCATAGAACATAGTAGACACGAACTATCATAGAACATAGTGTAAACTGTAAGAGCGATATTAGCACAAAGTGTACATATAGATGAATAGAAAACGTAGCTAGCCATAACAACCATGTTGTCTGGTAATTATCTTTCGAGAAATTCGTCTTTTTACTAAGAACAGCTATTATTATAAAAATTATAAATACTCGAGAACAGATCTCACGAAAAAAACACACTCAGCAACATTTTGCTCTTCGACGAAAATCCTTGACCGAAGTGCAGCCAATCGAAGAGTTTGAAGAAACTCCTGCTGCTTTTTCATCTACAGCGGTCGATTCAGTGTGAAGTTCTGCGCAGATACTTTATGAACTAGGACTGATCCATGCGATGTATCGACAGGCCAACAGCCGTTCACGGATAAGCTGGACGCGACCCGGACGTAGTTGATACTTCGGTTAACGAGAGCCAGAGAAGCCTATGAGCGAAAGGTGACGGTATAATCTCACTGAACACAATGTAGGTCACCAAAACTTTTGATTTTTTATCCACTCAGAAGAGAAAGGCAAATTAAACTGGAAACCAACACACCTAAAATATACCAGGAAGGAATCCGCAAGTAAGGCAGATATATCAGTATAGCTATACGAAGGCGAAGTACAGGAGCGTAGCTCTTTGAAAAGATAACTAAAGTAAACAGTGCAACTTTAGTTCTTCAAACAGACTGGTTAATTGACGGATCCTTTAAAAAGCTACGCGAATTTTTGAGGTTTTTCGAGATACTCTACTATTCATTGAAGAATCCATTCATCGATCACCCAAATGCCGTTTTGGTACACGTTTTTTTTTGTATACAGTGTTTGCTCTTCCTCCAAGGGCGTCACAACATAGGCCTACTACTATATAGATACCGACCACGAAAATATTTAAAAAAAAATTACAAAGTTAATTTTTTCCTTAGTGCAAAATCTGAAAAACAGTTTACTTTTTTTATAGAAAAGATGTCCTTGTTGCCTATGAATCAATAATAAATTTAAACAAACAAACAACATAATTCGCTGAATAACACACAATCATCGATGCCAACTGAGCAGTCTACTCGAGTGACCTTCATCACAATTTGACTTTCTTTCAAGGAAGAGGGGACTTCTGTATATCACAGCAATCAATAAGATGACACAAATAGAATATTGGACGGCATATAAGTAACATTTTGGAAACATTACCTTGAATGGCTTTTTTAGATGTCAAAATTTCACTCAGAAACCCTTATGCTTCTCCGAGATAACAGTACTGTCCAATATATTTGAGTAGTAATTCATTCAGTGACTTCATCACTGAATATTACTGTGGAAAAAAGCGTAATATCCATTTTCAAAGCTTACAGTTAGTAAAAGTGTCTATGAAGCAAACAATATATATATATATATATATATATATATATATATATAGTTAATTTAAAATCTCAAGATAACTATTTTTTTGACACGTCTTTTTGTAACAGATATGCACTTCCACTTTCTGAAAACAAACACTGTTCGCTCGCGTATCGTCACTCGGCCTTTCAACAGATGGATTGTGCAACAGTAGGCCATGTAAGTAGTTGTACCCTTGATAGTCCAATGGGTAAAGAATTCCTGCTAATCTTAAGGACACTTTGTGGTCTAGGTTCGAACTCGAGCAGCGACAGATTTCGTTTCGTACTGAGAGCCAGCCTAACGGCGATACAGGACTAACAACTCGAAACATAGAAGCCATGCAGATTTGAGAAATTCCAGTGATTTAACGAAAATTAGTCCCATCTTGGAACTACAGCTGCGGAGGCACTTCGCCATATAACATATGCTTTCTTGTAACAACAGTGACCCATTCATGCATTGAATTGTGACGTGTAACGGTAAATGGATTCTTTATAGCAGTTGCAAACGGTCACTTAAATGAGTTGATGTAAGTGAACCTGCACAACATATTTCAAAAAGGCAAATGTGTAGCTGAAAAAGCTTATCCACTACAGCTAAGTTTTAATTTGTCGATTATGGCTTAGGTGTACCATCACGAATTAGTCACATTATGCGCCCAAAATTAGTAAATAGAGGTAAACCTATTTCTACTGCGCAACAGGGCTCGACCTCACACCGCGAAAATCGCGGTGAGAAAAACGTAGAAGCTAAACTTTGATATTATAATTTGTTTCAAAATTACGACAACGTCTATTAACAGAGACTATTCAATGTTAAATTAATTTTTCAGGACATTGTGAACTTTTGTACTTTACAGTTCTACAGTAGCAAAATATACAAATAACGAAAAGCCACAAATGATTATTATAAAGCATACTTGTATGAGAAAAAAGAAATAGCTTCTGAACAGTATCCAGAGTTCTTCATATTACGTTTCCTACATAAACGCTGTAATATACACGCTTGGCTCATTTTTTCGATTCCCACCCGAATCATATACGTTACAAGCAGCTTCCTTAATGTTTGAGTGTGCAGACAGGGCTGGCTACACGGCTACACCCGTAAAGCTGATGATGCCTCACATCCATCATCAGCTTTATGGGTGTGAACCTAAACGAGGAATCTAACTACAACTGAGCGAAAGAGAAGCTGCGTGTCTCTAGTTTATACGTAAAATTAAGGCCGAAAAGAATGATAGAAAGGGTAAAACAACAAAACTTGTAGGCCGTCAATGCTTAAGGCTCTCCGTAAAGTCCAATTCCATTTATATTATAAAACTATATATATTATATATATTATATAACACATAAGAAACCAAGTATATGCAATTTCTAATCATGTTAAATGCTTTGAGTTCAAGATGATTATAATAAAAAAAAAAAGATGATCTCTTGAACGAAGAAGCCATCCTATTTACATGCGTCATGCTATACAAAATTATTTCTCTAGCTTTATGTTCTTTTATTTTATTATTTTATACATTGTTAATAGGAATTCTATAGCCGCAAAGATCAAAGGCACAAAGAAGTAGCCATACGAAAACCTTAATACCTAAATGAGCTTAGACAGCTCCCTTGCTATATTGATTTATGCTTGCGAACTTATAAGCAGTATTGAAACCAGAATAATTTACCTTTGCCCTTCTTAACTTATCATTGGGGTTTACGACATCGAGATACTTTAAACCTTGTGATGCTATCAGCAGCTAAAATATATTGTCCCTTTATGAAATATTCTCTCATATAAAAATAAGATTCTTTATAACGTCAAGATATTCCTTTTAGTCATATTCAAACGTGTCTAAAAGCGTCTTCTGGTCCAACAATACACTTCTGCTAATTGGTGTTCAATGTAATTCAATGGTTCGTCGACCGGCAAAGTGTTTCAAATAGAAGACTACTAGACTGTTCTTTGTGTAAAACGATTTTCAACCACAACTTTTGACAGCGATTTAAATGTTCTATTAGACATCGTAAGAAAACTTCCAAAAGAAAATTAATATTTGCTTTCGGAACGCTGAAAATATCTAGATCTAGAAGACAGTAGTTATGAGTACTAAATAGCATTTGGATGTTGTGGCGTTGTAAAAAAATATTTTTTGACAAATAGAATCTCGACCCCGGCAGCATGCTTTATTGGTTACATGATCGAGTTCACTGTCAATAGACGACACAAAGATAACATAATAACAAGTTTCTCACTTTAATGTATCAAACAGAAATGGACTCCAAAGTGATGTTTCTCAGTGTTGCACGCATGTTCTACTACCCGCGGGTGGGCAACGTTATAAGCATGTCGTAACACGTACATATATGTACCTACCACGTATATGTTTATATGGCAAGGTATGCTTACACATATTACTATATATATATATATATATATATATATATAGTTATGTGATATAGCACACTAGTTATTCATTCGCAAAGTAGCGTTAGTGGTATCATGATGCCGCAGAACGACTGTGAATCGTTCTTGTAGTATGTGCATTATGACTCTTTTTTATATTTTGCGATGTTATTCATTTCCTCTTTCAGCGGCCACGTCGCAGACAAGCTTGATATTAGACAGAAATCACGATTGGCCACTGCTCTGTCACTGCTGCCATAACGTATGAGGTCTTATAGATTTAATCCAAAAAAATTTTTATGATAGAATGCAGAGTAAATTGATTGTCAAAGAACAGCGTTACCTTCATTTTCTCTTTTAGAATAATCTTAACCTATTTTTCGGCAAGAGTCGGTATTGTTGTTGTTGTTTGCGCCGTTCACTTACCCGTACTAGCTTCGCGCGCCTCTTGGTTTCTGCTTCGTTTTTTGTGACTTCGTCAAGACTCGCTTGTTTTTCTGTAGAGCACAGTGCTTCTCTTGTTATTATTGACGCTGTCGATTTTTGTTTCTATGCTGTTTCGGTTATGGTAACGGCGACGGCAACGAAGTTGGAAATCGTGACACTGAGGGGGAGTTGTGCCTCTGTCGTTAACCCGTCGATCGGCCCGTAGTAATGCTCATACTAGGTTCAAACAGTTATTGAATAACAAAAAAGGTTTTAGATAACCGTGTCTTCTATCTGAACGAGCCTGTCCACTCGCGTCTGTTCGTTCTCCAGTTTGTCACTCGATCGCTTGAGGATCTGCCCGCCTGCCTGTCTGTCTATTGATCGGTCTGTTTGTCCGTTCAGTCCTTAAATCTTCCGTAGGCGCGCTACTGTCGTTGTATCGACTCGCCACATATGCTGATCACAGTAGATAGCAGCCGCGCCACGGCTGTCGCGGGAGCCGCTCTTGTAGCCAACAGCAGCAGCGACATTCAGTTCGGAATGCTTTGCTGACTGTCGCTATTCCTCCGGCCGCCCGACAACGCTGGCAGTCCTTGACGTTGACGCTTAGCTATGTGTGGGTGCGCCCATTAGTGGTAAGTGCGCAAGGCCGCAACACATCAGCACCACACCCGTCGTAGACTAGAGGAATATACAGGAATCAGGCACTGACAGCCTGCAGCAACGGCAGCAATAAGACGGTTCGTAGGTTTCGATAGCTTGGCCACACACTCGCTCACTTCACAGCACCACGCAAATGCACCGAAAACTACAACGTCAACGACTGGCAGATGAAAGAACGAACGTATACTCCTCCACTCCGTCGTTCTTTCACTCGAAAGGAGGACGTTTGACGTTGTCGAACGGCTCTGCTTCCTACCTCCAAATGATGTTGCTGCTGCAAATACGGCGGCTTCAGCTTTAACTGAGACTACTCCAAAAGATGCTGCAAATTGAGCCCCAGCTTGGACAATCACCGATTAGTGAGGAGTTGGTTTTTCCGAGCAATTATCGCTCAGATGCTTCCTATAAATTAACCCGTGTCAGCAACTACGACAATGCTTGCGACTGTTCGACGGTTGTGATGCTAACTGCAATGACGACGGCCACAGCGTTAGCTGCATCCAGGTGACGGTTACAGTCCCAGCGAAACTGGGGACACCCACACTTACCATGATTTCTTTCAGTCAGTGTTGAAATATGAGAATTCATGGGAAAACGTGACTGACAAACGGACGAACGCACGGCGAACATAAGTGGCTGGATGGAAGAGAGATTTGGAATCAATAGTTTATGGCTGTCACAGCATCAATAGCAGACGACAGCAGCGGATAGGACGCGAATGGACGCTGTTCATACGCGGGCTTCTCCGTGGCGTGGATGACATCCTAATAGCATTGGTAAATAAACAAAGGCAAAACTAGCATCACGACCGAAAGAAGAGAACTGGCTCTGATAAAGCGGCACCAAAGCGCGCGCTAACTTGAAGTTTCTAAATAAATACAGGGTTTGACGAAAAAAAAACTATATTATAATAATATAGAGATGTTGTTTTGCTTTTTGCAGTTTGTATCGTTTATGGCCTAGTGGTAGACTTCTGGATATCTGATAAAGGCCTGTTCGCTATGATACATTACACACGTCGAAATCGTGCATTTATATATTTACTTTACCTACCGTAGCTAGGCTCTGTTTCGATTCTGAGTTGAAATATACCAGCTTGAAGTGACCTAACATGTATATGTATGAACAATTATAACTGGTATTAGTACGTCGTCGTCATGGCTGGTCTGCTTATTATAAAACGGTGAACCGAAAATAAACATAGTTTCGTTCTGCTACCCGTTCGTTTCTTTGTCAGGGAAGCTTGGTGTTCCGTATCGGTTAACCCGGTGGTGGCTGACAATTCTACCAGGGTCCGAAATTACCCCAGTTGGAACCAAGCCAGGCAGTCTACGTGTTTGTTTATTCTTAAAAGCAAGTAGAATTCGATTCAACCTTGGAAACAGTTATCTAGGCAAGCTGAAAACATTTGATGTACTCTACGAGACAACTAGCTGCTTTATTATATTGTATGGAAACTTACATACAGTCTGCATTAGTTAATGGGACGGTTTGTTTCCGATAACTGACAGCCCTTCTCTAAAAATCTCTAAGCCAGGTGTTATTCATTCGAGTGGGTTGTTTCGAGCAGAACAGCAATCAATATAGAAGTAAGTGATGGAATCACAGTTTCAATTTTGCTTGTTATCGAGTGCTTTTGTCAATGAGCACAGGTATCCTATGTAGGAACGATCTGTTTGGCTATGTTTTGGATAACTGAGATCAAACAGACCCTTCTGTACATTCGTTTCTGCATTGAAGCTGTTGTAGGTCGATGAGTCAGTTTTATCGCCTTTATTATTATCCATTTAGATTATTATGCGTATAGCGGCAGACTACTATAGTTGCTTAGCGTATTATTACATCTTACCAATGGTAAACATTTTTAGCGTTTTCCTATTGTTTTTAATTAATTCAGGAAAACTGAACTGAAAGCAGATTCAAGACGCAGAAAATGGAATACATATTTTTCTTGAATATTATTATAATCTCAACACAGATAACTAGTATAGCGTAAATAGCAACATTGAACTTATGATAACGATAATTCTTCTTTTACGGCAAATTGTTAATTGTTTTCTTTATTAAGTTATTTCTTCCTATCGAGTAAATTATATGGTAGTTGTTGTGTGTATATTTACATTTAAAATTCCTTGTTTTAGAGGTAGGCGGGAATTGCAATAGCCATGGATAACAATGGGACATTTCTGTCCCCTCGAGGGCGATCCCCTCAAAAGCTCGGACCGACAGCGGGATCTGGTTTGGGCGCTATTGTTGTTGCACAGCAAAGTTCTCCGCCTCCCACGGCTCCAGCGGCACCTCTGATCGAGGAGGAAACTCGAAGTTCATTTACGGATCAGCCGCCTTCGAAACCTCCTTCTCCAGTTGGAGAACCCCCTCTCGAGGAAACCGGTACTCCCTCCCAGAGTATGGATGGAACAGAAGATTCGAAGAGTGGAAAAACAGCCAAGAAAAAATTGAGATGTAGCGATTTGCAAATTGCTGAACAGGCACTCGGTTCGTACAAATATTTAGTTGCTTTAGGGAAATCTGTCAGGTTTGCTGCGACATATTTTCATTATATCAAAACCGCCCGGACAACAAACAGTGAAGAACCAGTAGCTAATCACATTGTAATTTGCCAGATTTTGCACCATACAAGAAATCAAACATTAAACTAGGAACTAATGTTTCAATTAAACATCGTAGTAACAATTTTCCTCTTGTATTAACTCCGGGTCGATTCGTAGCTCGTCATGATACGCTTTTAGAACATGATTGGCCACCGCTGTCTGGTCAGACTTGGGTTCTCCAAGATAATTTGGCTGAATTCGTGGGCATCAAAAATATTAAAAGACGTTATCCGGAACTAACACGACGTAATATTGAATCCGACGAAAGGGAATTTCTTCGAGCGAAAGGATATGTCACCGATATGCAGTGCGATCTGGGACTCGTAGCACTTCGGTTAGTATAAGTACATGCAAATAGTGCAAACTTATTTTAGTGTTGTCAGCGTTGTTATCTACGTATTTACAGAAGTAATTTAATTATCTGTAGTTGGTTCAGTTATTTCTACATATTCAATCTGCGACTCGCAGAAATTTACCGGATTATCTCATGCAAACCCTAATAACTATCAAGTGTGCTAGAATATAAAGTGAGTTGCAAAATAGAAAAGTCTTTTAAAACTGGCGAACGAAAAGTAGTCGTTTTTTATGATTAGTCTGGATAAGGTTTCATGTTTTGAAGGTCAATCTCAGCTTTTGTTCGTAGTAATCGTTAGCGGACTAGATATATATAAGAAAGCCAGAACAATATAAGAAATTAGATGATATTTACTTGTTTTCGGAGTATATATTTTTCGGGATATACGTGATAATAACAAGTAGTATGGCCATACTGTTTGTCATGCTATTTAATATCCTTAAAATATTCGTTCATTATTCTCGTTTTATAGATTACGCAAACAGTTTATCAATTGTTTGAGTCATCGGGAGTATTTGTAAGTGGATGCTTTTGAAGTTTAAATTTTTGTGCTCCTTGAGGAGCATTTTGGTGTATGAAAACATGAAGATATATGCGTTAAATTTGCAGAAGCCTATGAGCTAATGAGCTCCTGTTTTTAGCGATCTTAATTGGGTAATAGCTATTTTCGTGAATTGGATCGAATGGAATTCTTACATTAGCAATTACAAGCTTACATGAATAATTCCTAATTATTTCGATATTGTTTTACCGTTTATAAGGGTTAAGCGTGTGTATTTAGTCTGTGTTCTCTGATTGTCAATTAATGCATTTACAGTTGGGATGAAGTTGGTGAGGTGATCGCACGAGAATTCCCTGAAAAATTTTCAGAATGGGAACAGCAGAGGAAAGAGCGCGCCAAAAAGATCCTTCTTGAACGAAAAGCCGCCCAATCTGCACCACCTGCACAGATCGATAAAGCTAAAATGGCTGAGATTGGCAAAAAAGCAGTTGAAGCCGTATACGAATATAATATAAGATTGAATACCGAGCGTATCGAGGAGCGAAGCACAATATTCGATCTTCAAACATACACACTTCTCTATCCTGCTCAGAGACGGAAGGTGTTCGCCAAGCCGAAACTGGGACGTTACCCCGTAGCAATTATTCCGGGACAATATCAGGATTATTATAGGTAAGGGTCCAACGCTTCATATGCACCGCTCCCGTAATATGACAAAAATTTATCCTCAGTAACATTTGCAACTGAGCTATTCAACTTAGCTCAAAATCTTATTTCAAAGTTTTTGAATCCCGCCATATTCAAGTATTATCAACAGGTTTTCAATATAAAGTCTATATGGCATTACTGAATAAAGGTACTATTATAGCAATTAATGTAGATAATCTGAAATCAGTCCTACAAGACTTACGTAAAAATGACTCAAAAGGCCTTTCTGATTATGAGAAAGTCAAGCAGCTTTTTTTTGCTGAAATGTTTAATCTCGTCCAAATCATTCAACCATGTAAAGCTTAGAAAAACTGACCTATGCAGTCTGCTTTATACAAAGCCATGTCCAATACGTCCAAAAATTGAATGTATTCAGGAAGTAATTAATGATTATCTATTTGTTACCTCGCCTTTATTACAGGGCTTATACCCCACATGAGCTAAAATATCTGCCATTGAGCACGGTCTTATACGGGCCAGTAAAGGAAATAGATAAGCAAATGTTAGACCAGATGGCGGCTGAGGAGGCGGCTCGTCAAGACGAGGAGGAAGAGACTGGGGGCGGAGACTGCTCTAATTCGGAGTGCGACGACACCTGTCATCCCGAAAGCGAAGAAAGCGAAGAGGAGCCAGACGAAATAGGGTCTAACATTAAGGCAAACTGGTATGAAACAACAGAAAGACGTAAGCTTATATGCAAGGACTGTGAGAAGGATGCCCCAGGTCTCATGTTCCGCTGCAGTGATTGTAGTAAATGGCATCACTTGCGGTGTCTCGATCTGCCATCAGCCGAGCCCGAATACTTGAAGAAATATTCTTGGCAATGCATGGAATGTAAAACATGTTTTGTGTGTAAGCGGCCCGACCATGAAGACCAGATGATTTGTTGCGACCAGTGTGATCGTGGACACCACACGTTCTGCGTTGGTTTGTTTAAACTTCCGCCCGGAGGTTGGGTTTGTCGGCACTGTGGAGAATGCCACCAATGTGGCGTGTACAAGCCGGATTGGTACGAAGAAGATGAAGATGCTCAGTGGGTATGTGTCTCTGTGTTCATTTACATTATTAATAATCCATTATATATATATATATATCTTTTAGCACCGATACGCTATCGGCTTCCCATAGGCTTATAATTACCTGTGGTGTAGTAGGAACCAGTTTGAATGCACGAATGAGATACTACGGGGCAGTTAGGTATTTCTGTATCGGAACAGATTTTATCGCTCAATAAGAAGCAGCTCTGGCAGCTTAGCGATGGCTAAGAAACGAGATCACATCAAAAACAAAAAAAAAAATCATATTGAATGTAAATGGAAAAATCAGAAACAACGTGGACGGCTAATAACTGGCGTTATGACGGTCGAAAACGAGTCCAACCACCAGAAGTCTCTAATGCTTTTTTCGTTAATGGTAGATCCACGGAAAATATACAGAGTAGGGCATTCAAATCAGAGCAGACTTTGGCGAACTGCTTGTCGTAGCTGGCGTGCATTAATTCGTTGGTTTAGTACTAGAGAGAAAGCCAGAAATAGCAAATCCATAGTGGCGAAAAACAGTACATCATGTTCGAAATTTGAGTGAAGGTCAGCTTTTATCCATTAAGTCAACGCAGGAGAAACCGCAAATTAGAAACCTCTTTTTTACTTGAAGCGAACCTTGAGGAATACCTAAAATCACATTCAAAAAAGAGTAGAATTTAGATTTAAAGGAATCAAAAATTTATTAAAATACTCTACGAAGCTATTTTTAATGCGCTTTCATTTATAGAATTTAACAGTCCCCTGTGGTGTCTCCGATGAGTTCGAACGGTTAATCTTCTTGCGCCTTTTTGCACTCATTGGCTGTTTTGTACTTTAGCATTTCATAAGTCTGTTAGTTATTTGCGGATTAAAGAAATATTTGGGAAGTGACTAGTGAGTGGTTTAGGATTGAATTATAGTTATATTGAACAAAATTAACCGGAACGAATGACTCTTGAGGAAACACATTTTGTTTTGTTTAGATATAGTCTTAAAAATGTTTTAGATGCCTTACCCTGTATACTGAGTACTATTCCAGTTTGCTATTTTCAACATATTCAAAGTGAGCATTAAGAGTAACACGTGACATTTATCCGCATCTTTTAGGTGCACGAATATAAACGAGGGCCCATCTCCATTAAAGAAAAGCGTAAGGTGTATCAGATATATTGCACAAAGTGTCGTACCCCACGGCCACGTAAACCTCGGCCATCCTACCTGAATATAAAGAAAGAAAATGACGATGGAGCGCCCGGGACAATAGACGATAAAGCAGTCACAAGTGATTTGACGGAGGATCAAGAAATGAAAGACACTGATGGAGATTATAAGGATTCAAAAACAACTACTGAAAAAGACTCAAAAGCTGTCAAAGATGCCGGTGACAATTCGAGAGATAGTGGTGACCAGATTAAAAAAGAACAGAATGACGTAAAGCCCGAACTCAAGGATGTTGCGAAATCGGAAGTTTACTCGCAGCTGGTGCTGCCGGCGACACCGTCCGCTTCAGTGGCACCAGCGTTACCGTCTACACCCTTAACTGGCGTGTCATCAAGAGGACGGCCAGTTAGGAGGGCACGAGGAAGAGGTCGTAGAACATTGGCAACGCCCAGGTCTCAAGAAAACACGTCTACTCCAATGGAAGAATGATAGAACAATCCATCAGCGATTTGTTCTGATTGTGGTATGCCATGGTTTAGCTAATAGTTTACTTTTGTAAAAAGTTGTGTCAGTATAATTCGTGTACATACGCTATGCGTAAGATCTATGGTAAAGCCGTGAGATAAAAAAACAGTTCTCCGCGTTTCAAAAATATCTCTTTGTTTTCCAGCTAACATAATAGCATGTACATATAAATTTGTTCTTCTAAGTAAGTGTTTGTTCACATACATAGTGTAGTATTCATCCTTGGTATCCCCCTTTTTGTATATATTTTTATACATATTATGTGAATTTCAACTATTCAGAAGTATATATATATGCTTATATAGAAGCAGTTATCATTGGGTTGACATCTGGGCGGATATGGTAAGTATCACAAAATTTTGAAAGGCAAATGTATTAACCGATGATATTTTATAAAAAGTTGCTTTATAAAGGAGTTTATTCTATGAGCCTTTTGTAGCCACTTTGCTAAGATATGAGTTCAAATTTGGAGTTGAAAGCAAACGTTTTTTTTTTTTAATAAACTAGAGTTTCAATCATTCTTTGATTATCTCTAAAAGATGAAATTATTAAAATATATGAGGACATGATCTAAAAAAAAATAGCCATAGACCGCCTTGAAAAAAACACGCAAAATTTGTTGAAAAGGAAATACGATTTTTACTTATTTTAAGCTTGTTATATTTAGTCTTTTCAACTAGGTTTTACTATTTCATAAAATACTATTTCATTTCTTACAAAAATTGTTGTTTCATTTTGATTCGGCTGATTTGTCGCTCAAGCAATTTCATTGTTTTTTTTTTTAATATCGAAGTTATCGCATTTTGTAGAACAATTAGTCCCACAAAAAGCCTGATCTTATGCTCTGTTTGGCTTCTAGAATGAAGATTTCCAATGGTATAGTGCTTAATAATCAGCAAATAACACCCCGGGAACGGAAGCCAGTGAACAAAGACCACGAAAAGTAGATTCAAAATGTGATCCGTCGGTTAAGTTACGTTCTATAAATCTTTTCCTTGGTTGCTTTGTCTATGGATTCCCTTCTCAATATAAAGACTTTGTTGTGTAGTTGCCCCGTACACACAACTTTGCAAGAATTTTTTGCCTGTAAAAACTGAAACCTGTCAGAAGCAATACGTCCGAAATAGCGTGGTGTAAGAGCTTCCAGTATAAAGTATATTTATATTCACAGTAGTAACATGAACTTCTAAAAACAGTGTATACTAAAACAATTGTAATAATGGTGGGCAGTGAAGTGTTACCAGTATCCTCTAAAGAAAGCTTTTAGGAAAACTCTTAGTCTATACAGCTCAACTAAACAACGAAATTGCTGCATTAGATTTACGTTTTTAATTTAATATTGTTTTACTTTTCCAGAGTTTTATGGCCCCTGCTTTTTCGAAAATAAGGTTCCTTAGTATTGAATTTGACATGATACGTAATCATACTCAGCTGTTGTTGGATGCAAATACAATGCACATGTACATAAATATATCGGCTACATTTTAGGATTACTGAAAGAAGAAAACATGTGGTCTACAGTATCATAATGGAATTTTCTTCAAGAAAGATGCCCATATTTCAATAAATGCTCACTTAATGATATACGCAATAATAATCATAATAATAATGATAATGTGTCAATAAAAAAAGGCGTTTGGTATATATAAGGTATGAATATATTTTACCTCAAAATAATTAACATTAAGTACAAGATTTTTGAGCGCAATAATCCTGTTACAGCTATAGGCAGCGACTCAATAACAAGGTTGTCGGTGGAACGTGTAGTTAATTTGTTTACATAAGTCTTTTATAACCATGAAGTTCACAAGCACCCGCTTACTACAATGTATATATATATATACTCCCATTAGGCATTCCATTATATGGCTCGCTTCTATCACGAAACGAAAGTCTATGCTCGGGTTTGAACCGACACCACAATGTGTCTCTAAGACTGACAGGTAAATACGTTACCCACTATGCCATCACAGGGACATATACATTGTGTCTAATAATAACCGATAGGATTCGCTTTTTACTTCTTTTGCACACTTACTAGATTGGATTCTTATTCAACAATAATTTTAGCGGTTACCAGTAAAAAGTGCGATTTACATTGTAGTAATTCATGTTATCGTTAAAGTTCACGCTAAAACAATCGCCGAAAATTACACTCATCGAGCAAAACAAACTCTGCACCTGAACGAGAAAAACAGGAGTAGGGGTAACAGTTAAAAATTGCTTCTATAAAATCAGCTGATGCCAGAAGCACTTACTGCTCCTATTTGTGTTTTCGTCAGTAAACAACAGACTAGTTTGAAATAAGTGTTAATGCTTCACGGTCTTCCATTACTTATTGCCCTGCCAGACGTCATTGTTCATACATGAATTCTTTTAGTAGATTTATTACTACATTACACCGTAAGCGGGTCCATTTTGCATAAGCAACTCACTCATCATTTACACGTGATGTAAGTTTAAAAGGGAATGACCATTTCTTTAGATGCATAGGATTACATTTTTGGCCTACGCTTCCATGCCACGTCGTACCACGTGAGACAACTCCTTCATTTAAGCAATAATCATAATGTTATCAATATATATGGTAAACCATGAGGACGAATTGTGTGAGTGCAGGTTCATTTACTAAATCCAGGGAAGGTTAGACTGTTCTCGTGGTTAGCTTAAATAGATGGGTGTAGTTGAGATACTCAAGGCGCTACATAAAGGTTCATTTTTTTGTTTACTGACACCTAACGCGGTTATCGCGTTCGCCTGATGCAAAGCGACACTGCTTCGTTTCTGTGCTCGAAACCTTCTAAACTTTTTTAACTCTACATCTGCATGTTTTCAGCGGAACACATTATTTATTCGGCGGTACACATTGTTTATAGGGTACTAGCAGGGTCCTCGCGGCGTCGTAAACGGAGTATCTCCTTTACCGCGGTCCTCAAAAGAAGAATGAGAGCCAACAATTCAGACAGAATAATCATGAGGAATACTCCCATCCAGTTGTAGCCGACATCTTTAAGAAGAGCAGCAAAAAAAGGGCCCAGTGCGGCACCCACGGATCCCGTCCCGTCGATGATTGCAGTGACGGTTGCCATCGCATTATTTCCAGTGCTCACCGAGGGATGATTGCCCAATTCAGCCGATACTGCCGTCGTGATTAGTGCATATGGACCGTTTATCTAATAGAATCAAAAAAATAAAAGAAAATTGTGGTAGATATTAGAAGAATAGAATAATATTATCGTTACTATTATTATATTACGGATCGTTACGAGCGTATACGGCGGACTTTGAATTAGGCGCCGCTTGAGACGAAAAATTCAGTAAACTCTCCAGTGTTTAGTAAAAACCTGTGAGTAAAAATCAATCGAGTTTACTCCAGGAGGAACTAGTTTACAACGGTATAGACATCTTTTACTCTCGAAAAATGACGCAAACATCGCAAGAACAGTAATTCGAGTGCTCAAGGCTAAAAAGGAATTGACCGGATGTTGACATCAGGGGCACCCGAAACATGATTTACTGTTAACGGTTTGTCGAAGATGAAGGTGGCAAGAAGATGGCGTTACTCTATAGAGAAATTCAGGTTGGTAGCGGTATCGAGCGGGTTTAAATGTAAAGTGATGGTTGTGCTTACAATGAACATCATAGGCATCTGCCATTACGAGATATTCGCCAGAAATAGAAAATGAAGCCCACTATTTCGAATTCCTGAAGAGGCTCATGGACTGTTGACGTGGCAATTAAAAGCATACAATTCGTTTGGCCTACTTTCAAATCTAATCTAATGGCATCCACAGCGCACGTTTCGGATTCTCTAAGGTAAGTTTAATATGTGAATAACGCCTCAATCTTAAATATTAAAACGTTTTTAGTTTTCGTTAGCAATTAATTTATTTAAGCGAAACATAACAAAAATTCGACATTTATTGCTGCTGCCTTCATTTAACATTAGATTAAACATAGGAAATATCATGGGAAGAGCTATAAAATGTATCCAAGTGCAACTCCTGCGGTAAATTTATTTTCAAATAGTGGAAATAAAACTTCGGCTAAAAAGAACAGAAGTCGGTCAAAATATTAATTTTAAAGAAAAGTGTGAAAACATTTGTGGCTCTCGCTTAAAATCTAAAGCTTATATACATACACGTCTCTGTATTTGGGATTCGTTAGCTGGCGAATATTATACCTTTGTATGAGAAAGTAAGGACGCATAATGTGCTGTGTTAATAGAAATCTATGCGGGTAGCAAATAAATACTTACAAGAAAGCCAATAAGTGTCAGAAGGACGATGTTGGTTACCGGGCTCATGCTCCCATACTTTTGGTAGATAATTATAGCTGGAATAGATGTAGCAAAGAAGCCCACGGACGTTGCGGCACTTGCTCCCGTTCTACCATTGAATTATCGAAAAGTCAAGACATAATATTTAGGCGGGTTTGATTGCAACGGAGCTTGTTTTAAATAAATTACTCCTTTTCTAAGCAGTGGTATGGCTATGTTGCTATTTGCAGGAAAGGCATAACACAATTAAAAAATTGTTTAATTGGCTTTAGGCGCCAGTGGAAGATCTCTGTGGAATCCTCCTGGTAAATGCGAGCAGATATGATTCCATATTCTTAGCAATAAAATTACATGCATATGTATTCCCTAGCCATATGTTATGTTATTCATCTTAAAAGCTGATGTCAACTAAACAATATAGCAGATAATATAGGAACGTCATTTTTGAGCAACGCTTTCCGATCAAACAATCATACAGGCTACATTATTGATGTCAGTATAGAAAAGTGGGTACGGGAGGTATATATTTAATAAGCTAAGAGCACATTTTATGTCAAATGAAAAATATCTGGATTGGGTGAGCTGGTAGAGCTCACCTATCTGAAAACCATCCGGCTAGTATTCCCCCAGCAATTCCGCCGACGTCAAAAACAGTCGAGATCTTTGCAGCAAATTCTGCTGAAAACGACGTCGAAGAATTAACGTATAACGGCAACAAAAACCAGTACGTATAGGATACCAGCTTTGCAAAAAATAGTGCTAAGGAAAACTCCAATACGCCTGCGGAAAATAAACAGAAAAGCGCAAGGTTAGCTACGAGCCTTATTATACTCTCAGAGAAAATTTAGCATAATTATTATTTTTATTTATGTCATTAGCATACGTTACTAAAATATGGATACTGCAGACAGCTCCAGCTAGCGTACTTGAGCTTACTTCAATGGAACAAATATATATGTATGCTAGTTGTTCTATAGGCTTACACGGCAGTTAGAGCGTAACAAGCAAAGCCTATAGTGTCATAGGAAGTTGTAACAAGGAACCTAAGTTATATTTGAGAGATACCAAGAAGTTTTGATGAGACAAAAAGGAATAGCTGAAGCTGATCTAGGGATGCCACATATTTTACGAGACACTTAATTTTACAGGATATTATGTAACTCAACTGGACAACTGTTTACCTCGCAGCATATTAACAGGCACTAACATCATTACCATAAAGTACTTGAGTGCGCTAAAATAACTGCGCCTTATTATATAGAGCGGAATGATGACATATTGACATAAGTAGTAAATTAACGCGCTTTCTTGTTGGATGCCTTGATTCACCCGGAAAAAGACATTGACAGTGTTGAAAGGCAATCGTATTTCACTCAGAACTCGCACAGTTCTTACTTTCAATCTTAGTTTTGGATTGGCTAGCTTCGAAGTTCTGTTAATAATACAATATTATACAATGAGAAAAATTATAACAGTGAGGCATTTTAAATTCTTGAATTAAAATAAAGCCAAACAAAAAATGTTCAGTGGTTGAAGTGCCTTTTTTGTGTATTAGCTATAGCATTCTTCATATATGATTTGATTATGTTCTATTTTTTGATTAGCCATGACTGAATTGGCTTGCTTTATTGTTTGCCGTAGCGGATTATTTCGATTTGGCCACAACCAACGATACGGGACTGATCTTTAAATATTTTCTCTTAGCGTGAGTAAAAAAAAGCGAACCATCTTTTCATTGTACGAGCCATATTTTTTGTGGCAATTGCAGTAGAGAGGCTAATCTTTTGGATTTAGGCAGATGTAATTAACGAGCTTTGTGATTTTCTCCGTAGGTTTCATTTTTATTAAATTAGTCGACTCACGCACCAGAACGCGACTTTGTGATTGCAAGATGTGACAAAAAGCCATTCATGATATCCTAATAATGTCCTCCTAGATATACTGGGATTTTTCTGAGACGTTGACATTTTTATTATATTGTGGGGTAACGATAAATATGTTTTTCGCGATTATTATTTAGCTGTAGCTGCCTGTGAGTTCAACGGCAGACTAAATGCAAGTCATGAGATTCTATTAGCGTCAAGCCCCGGTTAGAAAATGGAATACAGATTCCTGTCAGAATTTATCTGCGGCATACAGCAGTTGATTAGTTAGATCTTCGTTGGGAGCACGTCTTATTAAATGAAGTTAGCGAATCGAAGCAGTTGCAGTTATGTTAGTTTCAACAGAAATGGCATAAGACGACCTATTCAGAAACTCTAAACTGAATTTCCTCAGGGACCATAAGACGTGCGGCTTACTGAAAAGCACAAATTGAAACTACAGCACGCTGAAATCTGTATTAAGCGCCCTCTCTTCATTTAGCGCCAATACAATAGCGTGTTATACATAATTCTGCCGATCAGATAGATGTTCAAAATTATTTTTACTTTTAGCTACTGATTTAATACTGCGCCGCAATCTCATAAGATGTATTTCCTTCTATTAAGATCAACAATTATCGATCCATGAAAAACAGGTAATTATCAGTTCGAAACAATGTGTCACAGACTGATAGATTCAGACGGGAAACAAGCCAAGTAATAACGAAGAAAAATGTAAACTTATGCGTAAGGAGGGTAACAAATAAACAGATGTGGATGCACACATGCGCATTTGTTTCACAGCATGCAGGGTCAACAGCAGTTGCTATCGCTGCTGGACGATTGAGACTACGGGCCTGGTAAGAGCCTAATACTTTTTTTGGGTATAAACGATAAACATGCAGTTCTCTTAAACTGAATTGGTTTGATTTAAGCCAGCACAACACTAGCAGCACCAAGTAGAGACAACAATTGGTATCTAAAAATAAAGCTTTAGGTATGCACCGTGTTACGTCTTAATTCCGCTTATCCTATTATATCTTATTTCATCCCACATTTGGCAGCATATTCTTATATAGGGTTCAAAGAGTGGTACCATCTTTGCCTGTGCTAGTACCAATAAAGCTTTCGCTGCTGTGCCTGTAAGTTCACGCTATTCCCGTCGCCGGATCTACGTTATTGGCTTTCCTCGCGACACTTCTTTTTCCTCATCTCCTTTAGTCAATAACCGCTTTTGACGCCTATCGTTCAATAACTATGCAAGGGTTTTTCAGGAGTGATTTTCCGTTCATCCACGAATAAATCCGTTTTTGTTTGCAACTGTACAGTTTTGTCAGTTCTGTGGTTTTCTTACGTCACGTTGATCTATTCCTAAGGGTCTTCATTGTCAGTATAATCCCAGGCCAAAGTTGGTGTGACATTCTGTCAAAAAACATGATGCGGTCGTGGATCTACCATTCCTAAAAAGTACTCACTGCCTACATAATTATTATCAAGGTACTTTCAGAACTTACCTAGTCGCGTATTTGGTCTGTTTGAACACTTATTATTAGCTATTCAACGTGAACCATGTTTTCACTTCGTTTCCATGTGATAATTGTATCAGTTCTTTTCTACAAGTATCTTCTCCTACCTTTAAAGAACCCTTTTGGCCTTCTAACCTTCTTTTAAACACATCACTGTAGTATTTTTAGACGATGTAAATATAGGTTGAGACGCGTGCTCCGCGTGAGATGCGCTCTAATATTCAATATGCGTCAAATAGTAACATAAGATTTATGTTACTTAAGAGTCGTAAAGAAGGAAATATGATTTGTACAATAAGTACAAGTCCAATATTTTATATGCACATTTAAGTGCATGCTTAACGATTTTACCTACCTTCGTGCAAAAATAAATCTTCATAAAAAAAAAATATACATTTGACGTCCTGATGGATGAGTGCTGCCAAGATGCAATCTGAGAACATTGATCTTCGTATCTTAGTGTTCTTCCTGTAGAAAGGGCCCATTACTGGACGTTCAATCCTTAACTATCATTTGATCTTTTAATTCTGCTAAATGTACAGCATGAGCAGGAACAGCGCCATCGAACAATTTACTTCAGTTCCTCGCTATTTCGAATTTTTTTCAGCTTTGTTTTTCTACGGTATACAACCTAATGATTACGACCCATGCGAGTGCATACCGTTTTAATATCCTATTCCTTAAAACATATCCCTGTTGACTCCGCAGTTTGCTTTAATAGCATCGAGAAGAGCACATGTTAGTATCTTGCTTTGATCTCTGGCAAATCTTTTGAGTCGGTTTTAAAATACTATCATAAACTTACCACCTCATTACGAGTCAGTTTTTCAGCATAAGATTTTCTATTCTTTCAAAAAGCCTCTATTTTGTTATGGACCAACTTTGTTGCTAGTGAGCGGGTATTGTGATAGGCCTCCATATTCAATTAACTTTCATTAACACGGAATTTCATCCCTTCCAGCCAGAATATCTTAAAAGAATTCACTGGGTGTCCGTCTCCCATTTCAGGTGTCCCAGCTGATCAAATTCTACAGCAGAACAACCTAACATCATCTCTAGTGGTTTGCTAGGTCTCTTGCGGTGCTTTATTTTTCCATGACTTCTGCTACAAGTCGTACTTTGATAAAGGTTATTTTCTCTTTTCCTTGCGTTTAGTAATTCACTCGTCTTTTGGTCAGGTGCCGTTTTGTATCCATGGTAGCCTATCTTTTTTTATCACTACTTTTTCCGATTATTAGCCTAGGATCAGAATTATCAGTTTACGCACAAATCTTCGAAGTCGGAGAGTTATGTCATTTCTGGAAATGCTGTTCTGTTCTCGTCTTCTGGATTTCTTCTGTCATCTTAAATCTTTTTCTTTTATGGCCTTCTTTGGGTTTGAGAAGCGGCGAAAGTTATGTGAGGTTAAATCTGCTCGAAGGGGAGGCTGAAATCCGTATTTAAGTGCGTTAATGATTTGCTGGCAAATCTGCATTTGCTTGGAATTGGGGTCCTTCAAGGCAAGCTTCACGGTGACCCTTCTGACTCTGATCTTTCGAAGTGACTTGAAATAAGCGTGCAAGAGCTAAACTTTTTGAGAGCTCCCTAAGGATGTCTTAGAGATCTTCTATAAAAAGTGTTTTACGTTTCGCATGTTGTCGTCCACACTCAACGTGCAGGTCTACCGTTTTTAGAAAGATGTCTCAAATAGCCTACTCTCTTTACCTCGCCGTTCGAGAGAAGTTTAAAGCCGGGTTTGCCTTCGATTAAGGGTATCCATACAGCTATTACTGCCAGAGCATACACCATAATTTTTTTATTTCTGTCGAACTTCTTTTTTCCATGAAGACGAATCACGTGTAAGCTTCAGTTAAGATTACACGTTGAGTCACGACTGTACATACACGCAATCTTTCAATTTTCTTCAAACGTTTTATTTTTTCAGTTTTTTCATACAGGTTAGTAGGAATTAGCAGTTGAGTGGTTCAATCTAAGCCTAAATGTTTTAGCTTTACGGATTATTATAAAATTATATCTCGTATCCCTTTTACATTATTTGCAGTACTGAGCACGAGCACTCAAATTTTACAGCGACTTGTATCACTTGGTCAAACGAAAGCAGTATCTCTATCCACCCCCCAAGTCGGTCTTATCTGATGGCTAATGCGAAGGGACAGAATTACCCGTCGTCGGTGCCACTGCCGGAGCAGTGTAGAGATTTAACAGCGGATCTCGCAACTCATTTCGACAGGCGCTTGCAGATTTGTAGTCTTAAAGGATCAAGTGAACCATGGCGACTGATTTTGTCAAAACAATAATTGCTATGGTAAGCTTCAAGTGTCGTGGTACTTGCACTGTCATAGTAATATATGGTAAAACCTTGTTCGTAAAAGAACTGCACTTTTTTATTGAGCCTTTTCACCAGAGCGACCATTGTTTCAGCGGACTTATCCAAGCATATGAGCAGTTGTCTACATGGAAAACAAGTTCTGGAGGTACCGCATAAACTGCTAATAAAATTATGTTAAAACACGCCAATAACAACAGTAATAATAAAGTAATTAAATGCGAATGAAATAACTGGGTTAAAAAAGCATTTTCATATTTGCTTATTTGGAAAATATGAACAAACTTGCGTGCATTAGTAATAATAATTGATATACGTGTGGTGTCTTTATTTTAGGAAGCCTCTTCTAGGTAGAGAGCGTAATCTATGATAAATATATAAGCTCTGTAAATGAGGTAATATTGGTTCCGATACACAGCAGCTTTCGCCCTTCGAAAAATATAAACAATCAGGTTGGGTTGATAATTGATTTAAACTTATCGTGATTAGTTTTAGAAATTGCCACATCACTGCGTCCTCCGCTGTCGCATATATTTAAGAGGCAAAGGTTGGTGTCTCATTATAAGTTCTGCGTTCACTGATGGCGACTTCATAGTGCATAATAATTTTTCACGCGATAAATCCTCAAAAAAGAATCCAACGTAATTTTATTTATTTGTGTTGTAAACGTCTGAAATCATTTAGATCATCCATGAAGCTTACTGCTTATGTCAATCAGTGCCTTATTTTTTAGCGTGAGTGGTCTCTAATTGATTTACAAAGGTTGGATTGAATTGAATATAATATTTTTAAAACGAAGCAACAAGACAACATGTTCGGATTATATTTGTGAGGCAAAATTGAAACTTCGAACAAATTCTTTAGCACATAGAGATAGAATAGTTCGTTCCTACTCTACTTCCTTTAAAATAATTATAATGCACAAAACACTATTGACAAAGACGGAGAGGTTAAGAAGTCATGATTTGGCCAAAGGTGCTGTTTGTTTAAAAAAACCCAGATACTTCTCAGTGTTGAAAGCCCTGCAGTAGGCTTATTAATTACTTCACTTTTGGAGACTAATTTAAACGTATTACGGTAACGACCATAATGAGGATCATGCAGTGCAAATGTGTTCACATTTGACTCGCATGATTATTATATGCTCGTTATGTCCATACGTACTTGATTAAGCAGACAGATAAAGTACTCAGTTTACTATACTTTCGTGGGAGAAAAGTGCTGGTAATGTAATTACCGAGCTCATAGAAACAAGTCATATGGAGCTTCTAATGAAGGACTGCATGGTATTTAGATCATATCAGTGCTCACTCTCTTGACATATCCGGTGTTTGTACCATTCAAATGATGTTATAACATCATAATCTAGCGTACTTTTTAACTTCCTTATTATTCTGTGATTAGTTACGGATACGCCATTCATTATGTAATTTCGTTGATGTAGGTCATAGAGACCAATACAATTATCGCCTGTCATTGAGTAGAACTGACCATTACAAACACTTCAACAGAATAGATGTTTGTTGGCTGTGGGCTAAAAGTAAGCAAGAAATTGTAACTTGGGATAGGCAGTTTCGATCTATGACTGACTGTTATATCTAAACCTTTAGACCGTTGTATTTTTTTGATGGTCACCAGCACCGGTTTCTTACAATGTCTAAAGGTAACTTTGCGCACTGCTGCAACTATTGCCTAACAAAAATAAAGTACTCAAGGACTTCAAAAGCGGGGTTTATTACCAGATTTATACCTTCAGCGGACTTTAAAAACGAATTATACATACGCGAAACAGACAGATATTTAGCACGAACACTGTGAACAAAGTGTACAGCTCTGGTTGCGAAGATTTCCAAAGTTTACTTTATCGTTATTAAGTACCTTTATTTAGAGCTTATTTTTCCTGAATATGCTAATGTTTCCGTGGATTTCAACAGGTGCGGTACCGTGCGAATGTATGCTCACCTAGCGCAGTTTATGACAAAAAACATGCGAGTGGGCTTAATACTATCACCACTAGATGCGTTCTGGAGGATTTACTCTCCGACATTTTTACAAATTCGACAAGTATACATTTTCAAAATACGTCCTACTAGTCCTAAGCTAGAATCCTAGAAATTTTCAAGAGGCAAAAAATTGCATTTAAAATAGACTCATGTTCAAAAAAGTTTCAGCTTTCGGATACTGTATAATCTAATAATAAATAATTTTAAGTCTATAATAAATGCTTAGCATATTTTATATAAAATCAGATTCCGTAACGGTATAGACACATATATTGTACATATTGCCGTTTACTCAGCATAGACGTATGTCAATCGAACGTATGTAGAAGTAAAAGTAGGATGTCTTCTCACATCTATAACGTTGACTATACGGATCAGTACCATGGTGTATATGCTCCTTGATTATTAAAAATCGCTTTATTTATTAAGTACAATGGAGTAGTCGCGGACTACTTGAACGTAGACTTGTCCTCTTATCAATGCGATAATCAATAAGAATGGATAAAGTAGTGTTGTAAATAAGCAAGCACCATTTTATTCGCGTCGCTTTTGTAGACGTTAGGTACCATTCTTCTGCAATGGAATGTACAAGGCTAAAAAATTTTACCATCAAAAGACTCGGTTACGGGCATATGAAAAGAACATGCGATTTTGTCATTCTGTGCTATGCCTTTGGATACAATACTAATTAAAAGCGAACTTGAAAATCAATAAGGAAGAAAGGAAGGAGTTTGTCAACTCACCTGGAATCGCGAGGGCCCTGAAGAATGAGATAGCATCTTTTCGAATTTGGTCAGCGTTATTAATGAGGTTCATGTTTTCACTAGTATCAGCAACCGCGCTATTTATATTTCGTTTATTACTTAGACTTTCGCTACCTAGCACAGTATTCAGGGGTTCATTATTGTCGGCATCTGAGGCAGTGGAAGTGGGGCCGACTTCGGCAGAAATAGCGCCGTCGTTCAAACCCACATTTTCCGGGCTAGTCGGAACAAAAAGAAATACGAATAAGCCAAAAGCACAGCATATCAGGCCCGGGACGTAAAATGAGTAAGCCCAATCAATCTCGACGAATGCACTCGCAATAAAAGCACCAACTATATTGCCGACCGAAGTATGAGCATTCCAGATACCAAAAATCAGACCCCTCTTAGCTTTACCAAACCAGTTGCTCATTATTGTGACGACAGCAGGCCAGCCTGCACTCTGAACGCCACCAGCAACTAGTTGAACTGCTAAGTAAAACCAGAGTGTGTGATAGTTCATTGTGTGGCCTAGTCCGAAGAGGTACGTGGTTAACCCGGACAGAAGCATCCCCAGGGAAAGGAAATATCGAAGATGCATGCGCTCAGCGACGAAACCGGACACAAACATACACACCGCGTAGGAGAACAGGTACACAAAGTCGAGGTATCCGAGATACTGTGGATGTGTACCAAACGGTTCCCAATTACACCAAGTGCGGGCGTTCTGCGTTGTCACCGTCAGGTTGACAAGTGGTGCCGCTTGGTAGCAGCTACCATTGTAGTTGAGGACGGGTTTAACGACAGCAATAGGTCGACGCGTCATATGAAAGCACAAGTAAGCTAGAAATGTTACCGCGAAAATAAACAACCGATAGCGCCGAAGTCGAGTGGCTGGATCCAACTTGGGCAAGGCAGTCCGGAACATCCGAATACCTAGTGGTTTCGGAAACATATTTGTCAGTAATGACTAGCGCTCAAAACTATAGATTCATAGGCCGTTCTTCAATAATATCGAACTGCTGCTACTGCAAGGAGTGTGATCTTTGCATCACCTGACCGGCGGCTCATCTGTTTGCTGCTCAAGTACAGCGTTTTCTCCTGCTACAGTAGCAGCATCGAAGTCATTATCCAAAGATACGCACAGGCATTAGTCAGATAAAATAGGATGTTCCTACGGTAACAATAAAGTGACAAGAACAGATGTAGCTACAATGGACACTACTGTTAGCATAGTCATACTCGTTCGTTGTTGCCCGAGCAGCTGGCTAAAGTTGGCGCTCGCGGGAGAGGGCCTGTAACCCTCTCTACATGAAACGCATGCTTTTCGTTCGATAGAATAGGACTCGATAGGTGGCGTCAGACAATTTAGCGGCTGCAGGAGAGTATCAAAGCGGTTCCAGAAAATACGGCTGTAAAGGAATGGAGCGCATGTGGTACGAACTGCCGCTAGGATGCTTCTTAAATGTTTCACACAAATCAAATAATGTTTCACCTGCTCCTCCATTAGTGTTCTAATTTCTGTTCTCTCTCACTATGGAAAAAACCGTGTTCGAGTCTGCGACTCGACTTCTCCCCTGTGTGTTACAACACTGTTGTTGTCGGCTTACCGAACGCAACCGATCAGCATGACTCCCTGACACAGCGCAGTATATACGCCATAATGTTCAGTAGAGTACATATAAAGCCTAAAAGTCTAAAGCGGCAGCTACACGTATAGTCGCAGCTTAGCTGTATCTACGAGTCTTACCAGAGTCCTTGACATGTTATACCATTTCATGTTAATCAAGCAGAACGTTTACAATTGCCTATTTACATAGCAATTGCTATAGCGTCAGAACTAAAATATGTTGATTTTCCAAAACGTTCCTGGCTTGAGACAAAATGGAATCGCTGTGGTAGTTTAAAGAGTAATTCTAAACTAAACATTAAAAAATAGTAAAAAATTTCACACCCGAATCATGCGGAATTTTTTCTAATGAAGCGAATACCCGTATACCAAAACATTTTAATAACAATATTTAATAATTTTCCTGTATAACTTGCACATTATATTTATAACGCAAATTTGCACTAAGATTACATTCTATGCAACCACTTACTCAGAAGAGTCGATAAAATTATTTACTTCTATATTCATCATTAAAAAGAACATATATATACATATATATCTAAGTCTAAATCTAATATTTTTTTAGATTTATATATATATATATATATATAGATATATATATGTATGTTCTTTTTAATGATGAATATAGAAGTAAATAATTTCATCGACTCTTATGAGTAAGTGGTTGCGTAGAATATAATCTTAATGCAAATTTAAAATTTGAAAAAAAATATATGTATATATCTAAATCGCGAACTTTGACTTGCCATAAAAGAAAGAACGTATGTATATAAGTTCGCGATTTAGATGAAAGATACATGCACGTAGGAACATTTGCAGTTGCATGGATTGTTATCGAGGTCTTAACAAATTTGAAATCTGTTTCTGTCTTCTACAAATTAAGTTACAGTAATCTTATCTTTACTGTAGAACACTTTAAAGTTAAACTCGGTCTCACGAATTTGCGTTTCAATAGAATCGATTTGGGGTATTAAGATTCACTCCAGCTAAATTTGTTGAAATAAATATACTTGTCCCTTTGGAAAAAGGCTCTCATACGTATCGAAATGTATAAAGTAACAGTAACATTGGATCTTCTTAAAATCATAATTATAGAGTATGTAGATTAGTAGTAGCACTGCAGAATAGCCTATAGCCTATGCGCGCGTGCGCACGTGTGCGAGACATAAGCTTTATGATTTCCGTTGATGTCGCAACAGCGGAACATAATTGGTTGAACTCTGCAGTACCATTACCAATTAACAATGCTTCGTAATACAAAATAGTTGCAGTGCATAATACTTCCAAAGTAATACAAATAGTGGTAGTTGTACAGTAACAAAGCATCCTAGTCTGCATATCACTAAAAAAAAAACTGCAAATACTGATTCGTAAAGCGATTTGTGGCGCTTCGCTAAATCGAAGAAACATGTGCAAAATATTGATAATGTAAGGCGTATTATCTCAAGTAGACCTATGAAACGTAACATATAGCAAGAGATAATAACACAGCTAAAAAGAAGAAAATTCGCCTGGCTTGTCTAGCCGAGGAAGTCTTAACTGCAGGCATGGAACAGGTATAGCGGATCATATGGTCTGGTAATTTACTAGTTCCTGAGTAATCAAAGAAATATAGTAGAGGCCAATTATAAGCTAACTAGCTTGCGCTGTTCAAATGATGATAGTAACCGAGTTGTGAATCTGTGCTGTGAATATACATAGAAGCTGCTCCGGTGGATCGATTTGTATGTGGCTAACATGTGACGACTCAACCGGTTGTCGATAAAGGCAAGCATACTTGACAGATAGCTGTCTTAGCTAAACATTTGGCTTATCTTCTTGATGCTAATTTTCCACGTTGTGACGTAACGTCGAACACTGTTTTCATATTGCCTTTATCCACCCAGCTTCACTGTATAGACACCTTTAACGCTTGCATTTAAGAAAATCGTTTCCTTTCAGTTTCAAACGTAACAGTAACCGGCGAACGCCAATAGTAGCCTATTAGAGTCTAGCCACCTGCTTTTGTCGTACTACGCTCTCCTTTTTTGTGCTGACGGCAAATTATATCTCCTCTTAATAACCACTTGCTACCGTTAGCAGCAGCAGCATCACAATCACCACCACCACCAGGTGCCGCAGCAGAACAACCGGCAGTTTTCGCGGTAGGTTACAAGCATCTCGTTCTCTCGGCAACTTCCACTTTGCATAGCTTTCAGTTGTTCTTCATAACGGCACGACGGAGGGATCAAGTGGCTTGCGAATTGCGATAACATAGCGACAATGGTCAGTCGAAGAAAAAGCTAGTCAGGGTGGGGTGAGTGACGACGACACGACGCGGATCGCTACCTTTGACAGATTTGCATATACTTATTTATTTCTGAATTTTATGTTAATCGTAACACGGAGACTACTACTATTTCTCGGACATACATAATCTTTCTATCAATGAGTAGAGAAGCTGCAGATGACGCCACAGAGTTAACAGATCAGCAACATACAGCAGCGAGACCGCAGAGCCGCTAGGTTGCGCTAGGTAGAGTAAAGTCTCGAACTGTGTGATCTGCTCCTTCTTAATAAGAAGCGGATCCGACCTCACTTTTTGGCCCAAGATATTCAAAGCTGCTGACAGTATGTTACGTTACGGTACCAAACGTGGTATGCAAACTTCCGTGTCGACATGGGAACATGTGTTCTATAGTTTTGATTAGAAAAACGCGATGCATATAACATCATTATAATGCTCACCATTTGCAGCGCTGCCATCCGATTACGTTTCACTCTGTTAATTATTTTGGCGGTATATTATTTTGGTAATGTGCGTTAAATTAATTTTAGTGCACACTATTTAGACCCTAATGTAATCTTTCAACCTTCTTCAATCTTTGGCTCTAATACTAGACAACAGCACATGCTTTTCTGCATTAAGACTTTTGTGGAAACGTATATAGCCTTTGTACAATAGAACTGTAAATAAATATAAGTAAAAGCTTTTTTTTTTAATGTTTTCTACCTCTGCACTGTTTGTTACTTTTAAATGGCATTCGAAAGTGCTCTCCCCTCACCATCAACCCATTATATTCTTCTATTATAGGAAGTAAACGGAGTTATTGTCAAGCTTTATGCCTATTCATTATAGGGAAAGACTATTTTGACATCATTTTGACTTTCCCTGAGGTAAAAAAAATTGCTTAAAGTGATCATTTTTGTATAACAAGGTTTTTTTATAAATAAATGTACTGTTTGAACGGATTTGCTCAAGGTTTGGGTCTTTGATCTGGAAAACATACTTCACGCCCCTCGGTTATCCGATATTAATAAGGATCCCGACTGGCAAGCAGGCTGTTAACTGGCCAAGGAAATAGCCTACGAACACTAGATTTCTATTAGGTGTCCTTGAAGCGTTTCTGTGATAGTGGGCAACGTATTTACTTACTGATCTTACAAATAGAATAGATATGAGTTCTATACATTGAAAAATATCCGAAACGAACAACATAATAGATTACCGCATTAAACACGGCTATCCAAAGGAGACAACTGGCAAACGAAATTCGAAGAATAAAACTTCGAGGAGAATTGGTTAAAAAAAATTTCTGCAAGGTGATGGCGAATGCAAAACAAATTTATTTATTCTGGATTTTTGAAAGAAATGGTGAACTTTGGTTACATCAAAACTTGCATTACCTCCAATCACCCTAAACATGTACTGTAGAAGAGCAAGAGTACATCTCAAGTTCTTGCGTTGCTTTGGTAACGTGCGTGTTTGGTAAACTCTGTGCTATGATGTCAAACTTAGCCCTTATGACATCATTCACATGTTGTGCATTAAACACTTGGATCTAATATCCCACGAGCTAATAAAGGCTGTTTAGCAGACAAAGTTGTTCTCTTCTTTGAAAATACAATTATCCTTTTTTTCCGAATTCTCTCAATTGAAATAGGGACAGGTTCATATCTGTCTACTAGCAGTATGACCGTACCAAAACTTCATTATAAATTATATTGTAACCGATTTGCTTTAGCTCCATATTTGTTTCAATGCTCTGACAGTTCAGGGGGCCTGTACATTATCAGCAATACCTTCATCATGGTTTCTCAATTAAAAACTTTAATAAAGTAGCTAAAAAATGCGCCATCGCCAACATATAATAACTCTTTCTTCTAAAGCCCCTTTGTAGTTTTAAATGCTTCTATATCAAAACTCAACACCCGCGAAACTATCATTTAGCCACTCCCTAATTACTGATACAAGTTCTGACCAAGTCATCGATTTCAAAATAATAAGTTCATGTGTAAACACGTACGACAACTTACTTTGTGCTTTAGACTAATGTCGAACTAAACGCATTACTGAGCTAAAAAAACTCGTGACATTTTTTCTAGTAACATTAAATCCTTGCAAGATAATTATTAGCCGCCCAGCAACAAGCGTACAACGTGAGGTCATTAGTTGCTAATTTGTTTTGTGTATGTTGGAATAGTACAATCAATCCGAAGTCTTCTTGAGCAGCATAATTATCAAAAAGAACGCACATACATCAGTGTAATTTTGTATTGTTATTGAAACGTCCTTTACTTTCCGTTCCTGTATTTTCACCCCAAACTCGTGTTTAGCTAATCGA